TTCGCATCTGATCGGATGGCGTGGGCGGCGGCTGGGAAGCTCATGTTTATGCATTAAATATTTTTAAGTAGTCAGCCTTGATGTGATGGAAGGCCGTTGGCGTGCCTTTGCCCCTCCCCCCGTCTCACGTCGCCATAGAACACACACGCAGTCCGTCAACTTCCCTCTGAAGGTTTGATTAGACACCAATGGTGCCAGTTAAAGTTATTTTCTGCCTCTCAAACTATTTGAAATGCACTTAACCAACGTCATTAATGTGCGTGCGCCTGCATAATGAGCAGATTCCCCGAATTTTACATTGCGTTTGACCGTCGCGACGTGACTGGGCTGCTCATTCTCGCCAACGAGCGGCGTTATTCAGTGAAGGAGGCAGCCTGCCCCGGGGGACCGGGGCCGCGGGGACGGCCGGCGCCGGCCAGGATTGCGGAGCGGCCGGCCGCCCGGTGTAACTCCTGTCCGCTCCGATTTGTGTCTCCCCGGGGGAGTAACGGCCGCGCGTGAATCACCACTGCCGCCGGAGTGGGAAAACGGCCGACTCAGTTGCCGCCGTGTGGCCGGTACGGCGGGCCGGCGCTAACGCTAACACGTTCGGGCCAGCTGCGTCTCAAACACAGTCTCTAACAAAGCGTATCTGTTTTGGGTCTCGGCCGCAGTAGCTCAGTTGGTCTCGGCTATACTGTCTCTTGACGATTTCCATATGGTGTCCATTGCTCGTCTCGTGGGCGGCTATAAAACGCCGTCTCGGTTCCAGCGTCTCTGGTCGCCGCTAGTATAGCTAGCTAGTCTCGTAGGCGCTGGCGAGATTGATCACCCTACTGATGGCTAATGTCGCCCGTGATCCAGCGCCATTACCGGTTTGCATGTTGTTAGCCTCTTCTCTGTCCCACCACAGTCCCGTGTTTCTTATTCGTTCCCTGTTTTTCGCTGTGCCATACTCTTACTCCTGTCTGTCACTGTCCTTTCTGCCTTGTCCGTTCCTGACTCTTTTCTCTATGCCGCTGTACGATATCCCCCATCTGTCCCGTCCCCGTCCCCCTGTCCCCTCTCCTCCGCCACTGATGGTGATGGTGTGAAACTGTCCGAAACTGATGCCCCCCCCCCCCCCATTAGTCCCTACTCCCTTGAGCTGTTCGGAGTCAGGTTCTGGGCGGCAGTGGTCGGAGACTATCCCTCACCTTCGTGTAGGTACTTTATCTGACGCTCGCCCACCCGAATCGGCGAGATATCTCCCATCCTGGCCTTCGGGACCGTAGGGAACAGCCGTACGTTGAAGTTCGGCGCCGTCCCGGTATTTTCGTCTGCTGAGGAAGAAGCAATGTCCCACCGGGGAAAGAACGGTTATCCGACAGGTCATTGTATCGAGGTGTGGCTTTGCTTTTATTGATCATGAAGTAGCTTCTGACAGCAATTGGTATATAAATATATCATATCCCACAAATGGCTGCTGTGCCATTGTGCTCGATAGTGTGGCTTACTTGACAGCCTTTGTGGACCGGTCGTTCAGACTCCAGCCAGGCCCACGGCATTTCTCCGCTGTCACTGTTGACGCCACGCTGCGACGAGGCCCTTCTGAGCCGACCGCGCCAGGCGTGCGGAATGCGATATTAGAACCGCCGCACGTCTGCAGCCGACGCGACGGATGGCACGCGGCTCTGGCCGGCTGCCGCGCGCGGTGCGTGTGACGGCGAGCTCCCTCTGCCTGAGGCATCTTGCACCATAATATCCAGATAATTAGAATCGACAAACTATTTTTGTAGTTAGCTAACTTACGGAAGTAAATTTTGTTGCACCAGCCCATTACGTAAATGCGCGGCTGCTCCGTATAATTTCTAGCATAATGTTACGAAAGTTTTTTTGGAGTGGATATCCGGTGCAACAGAATCTAAGTGAATCGGAATTTCCCTTGTTAGGTATTTTGGTGCAAGAGGCCTCTGGGCGTGACGAGCCGCCAGTTCCGGCCGGTAGCACCCCGGGGTGATTGCTCCGGCCGGAGCCGCGAGTGCTAGCGAGCACGCTCCACTGCACCCGCCGTTCGGTCCACCGTCGGCGGCGCCGACCGGTTCGTCATTGTTGGCAGCCGGTCGCTGTAAAGAATCTCGGCTTCAATTATTCGCCGATATTGGGCCGACAGCTGAGGAGGAGAGGTCTTGACAGAGCGCCGCGCTGGGGGTATTGCTCGGCGCCGTCCGCCGGTGGGCCCGTGTCGGGCTGGACAGCGGGGGCGGCGGTCGCCGGGTGTGATAGCGGCTCGGGTGTCGAAATGATGTCGACAGGTTAAACAGAACCGCCCACGTCGTAGACGGGTCATTTTTCTTTTGATTTGTATTCGTTCTGCTTTGTTCCAGAAATAGCCGAGTGCCAAGCGTCAGACCGCATGCATTTATCATGTGACTGCCCATCATCGTTGCGAATTTTCTGTCACGACGTGGTCTATTTTTGACACAGCGAGCGTGCCGAATTCACGTTTTATTGATATGTTTTGCGATGGTCCAGAACTTTGCGATAATAATTGATGGCTAGAAGCGGGCCTCAAATTTATATTTGCTCTGCCTGCGCCCGCAGCCGCAGTAATGGTTGAATAACAGCGCGCGCTGCCGCGTCATTCTCTATACAGGGCAGGTGCAGGCCCACATTTGTGCAACTGGTTTCGGACTGATCCACGGAGTGGGATGGGAGCTACGGAATAATCCGAGACTACCAGGAAAGTTGGGTTGTAACGCCTAATTGAGTATTTTATGCTTGGCCGAAGATCAATGCACAACAAAATTGCGCGTACATGTCACATGTATTCTGCAAGAAGCATTGCGCTTCCTTGCGTGGTTCATATGAATTCAACAGGCTGCGTGGTATACTGAGAACCATCAGGATGACTTAATCCTTCCTTGGCGCATACCCATAACGTGGTTTTTGTGTAGGTGCAACACAGAAGGATGCAAAAACTTGATCCCCTTAGCTCAATACCTGCCAGAGCTTGTTATGTTGCTCGGGTATATTGAGAACTTTTCAACGCAAAGTTATCGGGATAAGTTAGCCGCAGGTGCGGTCCACTCCTGCCTTGTTGGCATTTTTCTCCGGGGTCTCGCCGTCCAACTGATTGGGTTGTTTGTCACAGTGCGATTGGTCGCCGGCGCTCGTCATTTGCACTGGATGACGACGGCAGCTGGGAGGACAGAGGCCACAAATCAGCCCGATTGCGGCTGTGATGACTTATTTACAGCTCTGGCCGCGCCACATGGCTCGCCGCGCTGCCGTTCGGTACATGCTGCGCACGGCCGGGATTGCCAGCTGGTTCCCCAGCCAAGATATTGGACGCGGTTTGAGATTAGTTCATGAAGGTCAAGGGTATAGAGATAGTAAATCAGGTGCTGTACTGTATCAATGGCTGTCCACCTGGCTCAAGGTAGCATGTGAGCCTACGATGGAAAGCGTGTTGGTTGTCATGCCTTTTTCAATACCAGTCGCGTTCAACTAGCCTTGCTTCGTTTTTCTGTTTTGAAAACATCTGGCGCTTCCTTGCTCGATGGCCATCGTTTTCGACTTCCCGTCCCCGGGAGTGTGAGGATCTTCGACACCTAACGCTGGTAAACGTGATTTCACGCCCTTTATCGACGTGTCGCCGAAGGGCGACGGCCATGACAGACGTTCTACGCTGGCTCTTTGGTTTCTTTATCTCGACTCTGTCGCTTCGCTTTGGGTGGTTAGAAGCATAACGTCGTGCACTGTGCAGTGTGCATATATGTAGGGGAGACCCGGGAGGTATGGGCCCCCTGGAGGTATGGGCCATCGCAGTTTTGAAGAAGTGTTGCGTATTTTTACACATTTGACCGCGTTAACTGGTAGCAGCCATTCCGTTATACAACCCACGTGATTTCCAAAATTTTTCTCACTCTTCTTTGGCAATGAGCGGTGACAAAGCGTTTTTGCCCTCTTCGAGTAAAATACGGTACATACAGAAAATTCGTGATAAATTTGAAGCAGGCTCGTTTTATGATGTCACACCATCGGTAATATAAAGCTAAAAGCATGCAAATTAAGACTGGATAGACAATTTAAAGCTTTCTTGCAAGTTTATGAGCTGAGATGCTACGCACATTCTGGCGTCCTTACCGGGAGGTTTGGGCCACCCACCCCCATTGATCCTAAATCAATACAATGATGCTTTCATTGAATGTCCTCTTCAATAACTTTTATTTTTGTCGCGCAAGGTCGAAAATTTAACTACAAATTTCATTCGAACAGAAAAAATATTATTAATCTTATTTCATGGAGCATGACTGAGTTTACCAAAAGACATATGTGCCCACGTGAGTCGTGACCCCCATGAAGTAAGCTGTTGGCCGCTTATGCGGTTCCTGGGCTCTAAGAGAGATCAAGGTAGATACCAGCTACGAGTATTGTTCTCATTATCGAGAAAAGAATATGAAACATGGCACCGGCCCATACCTCCCGGGCCATGGCCCATACCTCCCGGTGTATTTTGATGGATCGAAAAAGCGCATGATTTATTGAAAGCTATCTCGAGACAAAATAGTTTATCCCAGATGCCTAATATCAGGCACACTTTGCATGCGAAAGGCAATTTCACGTATGCATAGTGAAAAACCGGGTCTAGCCACTTCCCACTGGAAGAAAATTGCCTTTTCACAAAACCGGCCCATACCTCCCGGGTCTCCCCTATGACGACAGACACGTAGAGCAGCGGCACTGTGGGTTTTGTCCTTCTTGGGTAATATAGGACACTCGTACACCGTGTGGCCTTATTTGGCTACCTAGCCGTCCTTGGTTATCCTGGACGAAGTAATACGTTCAAATATCGGCACACTTTCCTTCATTTGATGTTTTCTCTAAAAATATAGTAAATTTGGTTCAGTTGGCTCAAACAAGAGTTTGACAGTCTTTGAGCGCTACTCGGTCGTTGAGCAGACTTATGTTTTGTCCGCCTTTCGGCGCATTTCTACCACCGTTACAGTGCTCTGACCTCCCCTCTCCCTCTCCCGCAGGCTCCGACTCGCCGCCGCCGGCCTCCGTGGTCACCGTGCCTCGCTACGTTCTGCGCGGCGCTGGCCGAGACGCTCACTTCGAGTACGAGATACGGCTGTGCGCCGGCGGCGAGCGGTACACGCTGTACCGTCGCTTCCAGCGGTTCCGCGAGCTGCACCGCTACGTGGCGCAGCGGTACGGCGAGCAGGCCACCGCCGCCGTCCGCCTGCCGCCCGCCAAACTGTTCGGCAGGACCTCCGAGACGCTGGCCAACGAGCGACGCGGTCAGCTGGAGGTGAGAAGGGGCGCGGTGACCGCTGGGGCGGGCGCACAGTCGCCGGGCCGCGGACCGGCCTGTCGCAGCCGCCGGTGTTCGTCGAACTCGACGCGCCTGTGGCCGGCGCTGCGGCTTGCTGACCAAGTTTGTCACCGCCGACGGCGCTCGGCGGCTGCCCGGCGCGGCTGGGACGCCTGCCTTCGGGCGGCCCTGGCTCCGGCGATCGCCTGGGATGAGGCGGCCGAACTCCGGCTAGGTGCACATTGTCAGCGTTCCGGGGAACGCGCCGGCAAAAACCGTGCAAGAATGTGTGGATTTTAATTTATTAGTAACTGCCTTTTGATTGATTGCAATTGCTTAATAACTTTTTTCAAGCATTATGAGCTGTCAATGGAACTCCCTCATAAGTTGTAACGAGAGTTTATTCGGATTCGTTATCTTCCGTTGTCAGTCCTTTGTAGTCACCTGTCTACATTGGTATTCTATGAAGTTTGCTGTCTGTCGTGGTCCCCTGTGTAGCATGCTGTCTACAGTGTGTGATATTTGCAGTATGCTGTCTGCAATGTGTGCCGTGTGGACTATGTGTCGTTCCCGTGTGCCGCGGCGCGGTGTCGGGGTGCCGGGATGACCGTGCGAACGGTGTGCCGCTGTGGTCGATGACGCACGAGCACCCCCCCCCCCTGTGCCCCCCCCCCCGATCCGCCGGGAACTATTGATTGGCAGGCGGTCGGACGGTGACCACCTCTCTGCCTCGCGATAGTGCCGGGTCAGAGGTGCGCCAAAGGACGATCCTATGATACAGGCAGAACGGACAGACATGGGGTCAGGTCACTGGGATCAAGTCTGGTCAGAGGTGCGCCAAAGGACGACCCTATGATACAGGCAGAACGGACAGACATGGGGTCAGGTCACTGTGATAGCGCCGGGTCAGAGGTGCGCCAAAGGACGACCCTAGAATACAGGGAGAACGGACAGAGACATAGGGTCAGGTCACCGGGATAGCGCCGGGTCAGAGGTGCGCCAAAGGACGACCCTAGAATGCAGGGAGAACGGACAGTGACAGAGGGTCGGGACACTGATAGCGCCTGGTTAGAGGTGCGCCAAAGGACTGAGTCCGATAATACAGAGATCGTACAAAGACACGGGGTCTGGTCAATGGGATTGGTCATCAGCGATGGTAGACACGACGCATGGGGCTGGCAGACATTGTCTGCGGTCACCGGGGCTCAGTAAACCAATGGTGGCTGCCACTGGCAGATGTTGACAAATATACCACTCTGCGATCCGATAAAACCAACCTTCGTTCGTTAAACCACTTTGGCACTGTCATTTGCGAGTTGGAGGTTTCATTGTAAGCTGCTTGATATCATTTTTGCACTGGCAATACTAGGGCGGATATTGCTAATTCCCTTACATTACAGTAATTCCATTATAACTGTGAATGCTAGGTTAATTGATTGGATCGCCTATGCTGGTCGGCGGCGGCGTTCCGTTTTAGCTTATGCGCATTTGCTAGACTTCAGTTTGACCTCCATTGATTTATTTACCTGTGTCCTGGACACCTGCGCAGAAGCCGTGAAAGTGATTTGTCCAAGCGGGATCCGGTTACTGTGGCCCTGGATATTGGTTACTGAAGCTCTTGTTTCTGGTAAATGAAGCTCAGGTGACTGGTTACTCTGACTGGTAACTGGCCGCTATCTTGGTTACTGGTTGCGGTGGCTTTGGTTACTGTGGCTCTGGACATATTACTGGTTACTGTAACCAATTACTGGTCGTTGTGTCTTGGTTACTGTTTACTCTGGTTCTGGATATGGGTTTCCGATGCTCTCATTATTGGTTACCGTGACGGGTTACTGGTCACTGTGACTGATAAGTGGTCTTTGGCTTCTGGTCACTGTGTCTTTGGTTACTGGTTGCTGTTGTTCTCGTTGCTGGCGCTTCTCCGGTGATCTGATGCTCTGATCTAGTTGACTATTCTTCAGGTAACCCAGTTCAGTTCGCTCAACCATGCGACACATTCTATAACCTGGCTCGTTCAGTAGAGCTGATATTACTGTGTTCCTTTCATCCATGATTCAATGCTTTAGTTTCTGTTATTGGCTTCGGCTCCTTGTGCTGATATATTTATTTGTTGTTTTTATTTCCCGTTTCTTGATGATCTTACGCTTGATCTGAGTCGTGTGTAAATATAGCTTTCGGTACGTTCATCTAGACGACATCATAGACTCCTGAAGTTGTTTGCCTCCGTCCTTTTCCCCAGCTATCCCTCCCTGCCCCAGCCCCAAACTTCCTCCGGCCGGCCCCACATAACTCGCGCCACCACCACAGTCTCGGACTCCCTCCCGCCAGCCGAACAGCCCATCCGTCATCACAGCGCGCTGCTCTTATCTACCGGCGCGGCGGCGACCCATGACCTTCCCCGTATTCTGGTGACACGAACTCCTCCCTCTCTCTCTCTCTCTCTCTCTCTCTCTCTCTCTCTCTCTCTCTCTCTCTCTCTCTCTCTCTCTCTCTCTCTCTCTCTCTCTCTCTCTCTCTTTCTCTCTCTCGCTCTCTCGCTCTCTCGCTCTCTCTTTCTCTCTCTCTCTCTTTCTCTCTTATCTCTCTCTCTCTCTCTTTCTCCCTCTCTCTCTCTCTCTCTCTCTCTCTCTCTCTCTCTCTCTCTCTCTCTCTCTCTCTCTCTTGCTCTCGCTCTCTCTCGCTCTCTCGTTCTCGAATCTCGATCTTGCCGAGTGGCATGAGTGTCCTGTGGTTGTGACTATGGTGGGTGCTGTGAGTGTTCTGTATCTGTGAGTGTTGCGAGTTCTATGAGAGTTCTATTACGGCTGTGAATGCGGTGTTGAGTGTCTTACCTGTGAGTGCTGTGAACGTTTTGTGTGTCCTGTTCCTGTGAGTGGTGTAAGCGCTGAGTTTCCTGTGGGTACTGTGAGCACTGTTGATTTTCTATGGAGTGTGGAGCTGTGAGTGTATTGAGTGCCCTGCCTTGGCTTTATAAGTGCCCTCTGTGAGTGCTCTGGTAGGCGGCCGTACGTGAGTGCCCCGCCTCTCTGAGTGCCATCTGTGAGTGCTCTGAGCGTGGGCCGTCCGTACCTCGCCGGGGGGCTCTGTTTGCGCGCCGGCCGTAATGTGTCTGCTCCGGGCCGCGATGGCACCGGCTGTCTGTGTGTCTGTCTGTATGTCCGTGTGCCGTAACGCTCTGAGTGAGCCGACCTAAACCATACACCTTACACAGGCTTTGGCTGCGGCCTGCTCTCCGACAAAAACGCCCACCGCCACCGATGTATTAAATCATGACCACTTGACAAATGGCGTCGGTGAGGCTTTGGCCGCGTCATCGTATCGGCATCATTCTGCGAATAATTGTAAAAAGTGATCAACATGCTGCTCGATAATGAGTCCGTGCGGCCTCCCACTACTTATATTTCTGGTACATCCGCCCTAGTGGCGACAGTTCTTTTGCGTTGGACTGACGGGCAGATAATGAAGCCTGTTTGAAGACATCCATCCGACTCGTGTCTGACTGTGGTTTTTCGCTGCTCCACAGGAGTACCTGAGGCGGCTGCTGGAGAAGTGCTCCGGGCTGCCGAGCTGTCCGCTGCACCCGGGCGTCACACGGCGCACGCTGGCCGACTTCGCGCCATTTTTCCAGCGGGGCGTGTTTGAGTTTACGCGCGCCATGACCTCGTGACCTGGAGAGAGGCGGAGAGGCGCCGGCTCGCCACTCTCTCGGTATTTATTGGAGGATTCCCCTTGCGGCTGCCCTGGTTTGTGACCGTGGCTCTCTGTGGCTTGTTTTCGGAGCGGAGGGCTCACCCGAGTGACCGTGAAGACCGATGCTGCAGTTTCACCGCAAGACATTGTCTCTGTGGTGTGGTAAAGTGCGGGATTTTGGGCGGCGGTTGTCGCAGCCGGGTGGTTCCCAGATGTGTCGTTTGCGGGAGGTTGTCGTTGTTTGCTGTCCTGATGGCTTGTGAAGGGGTTCTGTTGTGAGTTCGGAGCTCAAGTTCAACCATGCGACTAAAGGGCGTAACTGGGAATGGGGCGAGTTGTACTTGATTGCCGGTGTACGATCCGAAGTTGTTTTCTCTTCGTGATGTGCGGTGTATCGTAGGCGTGGCGAGAAAAGTTCGGAGCTTTTCTGACCGTCCATCCATCCCAATAGCTTCCAGACTGTTCCCTCTGCTGTTTCTTTCCCAGGGACCAGTCATTGTCATTAGCACGCCGATTTTATAGATCTTTTACGGGAATTCTACACACTAGAATGATAAGGGGCAACATCACACAAATCCACAGCGCTGGCATAACATAAATATGCATTACCTCCGCAGCACTAAAATGAGCGCGTGCGTTTCATTCATAAATAGAGGACACAAATTGTTCTAAACCAGTTTCAGCTTCACTCTGAAAACCTATTTCGTTATCAAAGAACGCTTTTTCAATACTTATTAGAGCCAACCTGGTCTGCATGTGACTTGCATTTAAGTGCAGACCTAAACTAATATATGCTGCTTCATAACTCAAGTTGCAAAAGCTGCGAGGAAGTTTTGATGAAAATCTAAAAGTTTTCCCGCTATTAGTTGTTGCGTCCTAGTTGAAGCCTTCAAAGTCTTGTATCTCGTACAACCGGTTCCTGTTTACGGGTTTAAGTGGTTTATCCGTGTAGCTGCCGGCAGTGCCGTGTGGTGGCCTCGCGGCCCTCGGTCTCTAGCTACTGACGGCGGTATTCTGTCTCCGTCGCTACTGGCAACTTACTCTGTCGCTATCCCTGTCGGCAGTGCAGTGCTTTGTTGCTGCCGGAACGGTTCTCTGCGCTTTAGCTGGGTCCTCTGTCCCTGTGGCTGCTGGGATGGTCCTCTGTCGCTCTAGCTGTGTCCTCTGTCTCTGCCTGCTGCCGGGACGGTATTCTGTCTCCGTAGTTGCCGGCTATGCTGTGTCCTCTGTCCCTGCAGGATGGCCCTCTGCTGCTCTAGCTGGGCCCTCTGCCTCTGCAGGACGGCCCTCTGCTGCTCTAGCTGTGTCCTCTGTCCCTGCAGTAGCCGGGACGGTCCTCTGTCTCCGGGCGGCGGCGCGGTGCCGGCCAGCTGGCTGAGTTTGCTCGCCGGCGCCGCTCGAGTGGCCCTGTCCGGGTATCAGCGCGGCTCCGGCCCGGACGATGACGCCAGATTGAGGTCAGCCGGCCGAGGGACAACAGCCCCGGGCCGCTGCCGATGGCCGCGCCGCGCCAATAGGCTGGCTGGGCCGGTGTGGACAGACTTTTGAACTCTGGTATCTGGTCGCTTCCATATTTTCTTTATCTTTGACCTCCGAAAGTCGCGTGGTTGGCTAAGACAGGTATTGCATTCACCGCTTTAACAGGTTATGTCATCCTCCACAACTTTTCGAGAGGTTAAAGGCAGAGTCAGATCGCTCAATCTGAGGGAATATGTACCCCCTTCCTTGTCTCCCGTGCCTTGTCGTCTGACTGGATATCCCATGTGCCTGTAACTGCGTCTCCGCTCTGCGGCGCCGCTGTCTGCGCCAGCCACTCCCGTCCGCGGCGCTGATTGTCCGAGGTATTTATGTAGTCCTCTGGGAGTGACAGATATAGATCTGTCTGGCTCCAGAGTCCAGAGGACGGACAGAGACACAGCGCCCGCCGGCTGTCCGGGCCTGAAGGAGGGAGCCGAGACGGGTTAACGATGAAGGGAGTTAGTCTGCTGGGGTTGGCTGGACTACCCCTCCGCTCTGGTCTGGGAGATACGCACAGAGTCGAGAAGATACTGCTCCATTCGCCGGACGATTCAACTGTCTTTCACGATGATGCCTTAAAGGTGGGGGCTTGTGATGCGGACTCGCGTCATGCCGCCGCTGGTATGGACAAGTAGACGCGAGTTATTGCTCCGAGACAAACAGGGTACTGAGCACGATATGCATAAAGTTTAGTCTCGAGCCCGCCGTACCTCCATGTATTCTGCGGTTACGCACAGCAAGCGCACAGCACCTAGTAAAATACTTACAGGCTTGGCTTTACATGGTAACATTATGGGTATTCACTGGGTCATTGAGAGGTTCCTGCAGCACAATAAGTATACAACGGGAACAGCTGATGCTATTGGAGCTTTGTGTAGTTAGTGTACCGGTCGAGATCTGATGTGGAGTCGGTGGGCCTGACTCAGATATGCAGTGTAGACTGAGTCGGGTAGGTCTTACTCATCTATTGTGTAGCCTGAGTCGATACGAGACTCTGACTAGAGTCTCTGCTGGAGAGCGACTCGCTAGTAGCTCTGAGTGGAAACCGGCCTCGACTCAGTCGAGGTGACGGTCGTTTCCCGAGTTCTCAGCATAGACCTGTCGAGCTGCACTGCATAGATGACCGAACAACCCCACGCACTGGGTATTCGCTCCATTAGGGAAACCGCGGGACGTATTACTACTCTGAGCATAATATCCTGCAACGTATATAATGTGTGTATTTGCTGGTAGATTAGCTTCGATGTGCATGTTTTAAGTGCTGAAAATAGTGTATATTACAACTGAGGTTGTTGGAATACGTACCCATGCTTTCAGAAGGATTGTGCTTTTTGATTGTTGTTTGACAGTGTGTTGATGGGGTACTCTTGTGAAGTGAGTTGCTGCTATCACTGACCCTCAGTCTTCGGTCTCCATGATAGAGATCTGGCTTGTTTGTTGCTATTCACTATCGGCATTTTATATGCGGTGTTGCACTCCTGAACAATATTAGCGTTGCAAATTGTATTTCTGTATTTCATTATCCTCACTGTTCGTAAATTTTCTTCATGCAGTTTTGTTTTGTGCATAACTCTTCAGTAATTGCACGGATGCATATATTTTAGATTCACAATCGAAACAGCAGTCCTTACTTGGAGAGCCATTTTACCGCTGTTTCCTGTTCTGTCATTCAACTCCATGAGCGTTCATTACCTTCTACCACTTTAAGAGGAGCTAGACATCGAACTTTGGTGTCAATATGGGCATCGTGTAATTTTACACACTGCTGAGTGCTGACTATATATCGTTGATGCATGTCGATGTTTACAAACAGCGCTACCGTTTTTAAACAGACGAGTACCGTGGTGCCTGAACCTCGGAAGCTTTAAATCCGTCCCTTTTGGTACCGTTCCATTACGACGTCTGCCTTCCACCACCACTTTCCACTGGGAAAGTGCCGGTCACGGAATTTCCTTTACTGAGCTTTGCGTGGTTCACGTGACCTCTTTCGTGGTGTCTTACGCCTACCATGTGACCTACATCGCTGAAAGAAAAACAACGAATGACTTGTGAAGTCTTTTACGGTTTATGTGTATCGAAGCTAGTGAATTCATCGGCGTTTTTGGCCCACGCAAACCATGTTTCTTGGCTTTCCCTGTGTGCCGGAGTGTATGTACTTTGTGTTATCTATCGCCTTTGACGCGTGTATAACCCGAGTGGCTGGCTCGTGTCGAAATGCGAGGCCGGCCATGTGGCACGGTGTCCAATGGACAGTAAACTCGTGTGTGACAATACAGGGTCTGTGAGTGACGTACGAGTTGTGTTTGATAGGAAATGGAGAACTTGAAACACCGAGCGAGGCTAGCTCAGACTACCATTTTCGTCGTATGAATGGTCATGTTGTCAGCCATATTTTGCGAGTTTCGCAACATTTTATCGATATTAGATTACCCCAGTAGCGCTTTAACGCCGTTTATGGGTGTCTTTTCTGATGAATGCACTTCAAAAGCTCATTGAAGCCCGCTCACAACTATACGCACACCGCTGTCCATCTCTGGCCACTATGAATTTTAGATACATGGCAGCGGTGTTCCTACCTGAAGTAACTAACGAAAGCGCCTATTACTAACACTGAGAGCTGTTGCACAATCAGACAACCCACTTTGTGACGTTAAAACGCTCGTGCGATATCCTCCGGCAATGCGGTCGAGGCTTCATCGGTGTGCCACCTGCGGTATTCGATAGTTTGATCTCGATTTGTAACCCAGTCTCGGACCGACTTCTGACACACCTTGCATAAGCCGGGTGTCAGCGGCTTTTCAAGAGCCGTCGCCGCCTGGGGATCGATTTAGTTGGTCCGTGTGAGTGGGATAGAACGTGAGTAGCACGTCCTGCTTCTCCCCATGTTGGAGCGCTGGCTGGCAGTCTCGGCGGGCTGAACCTGCTGACCTTTGCCCACCGTGAGAGGCACAGCATTACTCAAATCCGGGAGAAGCCGGCCGGGCCACGCCGCCAGCATTTTAACCAAATTGCTGAAATAGCGTGGCGGCTTAAACTAATGGTGTTTTGGAGATTGTTTGAAACGCGGCATGCATGCTTTATTTTTGTATAATATTCAACAAAGCTCAGCATTTTAAGGTCGCCTTTCAACAAGCATGAATAATAACGGGCTGAGAAAAATATTAGTGCAATCGATCAATACGATGCAGGGAGAATATTCCGAGCCAACGTTGAACGAAGCGGGCCGGGTTGGTGGGCGGGGGGGGGGAGGGTAGATACGCAATGCATGCCCCTTCCTCCACTATATATCAATAAAATTGAAGTTCTAACCAAGCGACGATTATTTTTTAACGTCAGCCGGAAGCTTGCGAAAAGGCAAAGACGTGTAGGAAGTACCTAGTTATTTCAGACGTTTCGCTGAAACAGGCCTCAGATGTCAACAAACATCAAATCTGCGTTTTCCTGACTGAAGCCTATTAAATCCGACAGACGACGCTAGCTCGCTGAGTCATGTTCTTGTTTATTTCGGAGATGCGTAAAGTAATGACTTCACCGATTCACAGTCGATGGTTCCCTTTTGTCTACGGAGGATGGTTACTTTTTGTCTTTTAGCTGTTCTGAAATGAGCAGCGAGTTTTTAGCAAAGCCTCTCAAAAAGCCCTCACCTGCGTGACAATATCGAGAATTAGGTAGTCTGTTTTCAAATGATGCTTACAAGGTAGTTCACCTAGCCGGCAGGGCTGGGAAAAATGCTGAATCTGCTACATACCAGATATTACGAGAAACTCTTATTAGCTACATTGCCACAAATGTCCCTCACATCATTTCTGCTAAAGAAAATGATTTTACAAGTCAATAGAAATTCTGGACAGAACTTTCCACTACCATTTTCTATCTTTTCTCAAAGTGAGCTTTAAATGTTTTGATTTAGTTGGCTGCACACACAAAAAAAAGATAGTGTCTTGCTTCTGCCCCCTGTGAATGTTCTTTTTCTTATTTCTTACTCTTTGTAGGAAGCATACAAATACCAAAATAAGTTGCTGTGGGGTTTTCTCAGGGCAAGTTCCAGCACCCCCCGGAGCACCAGGAAGCTCCAGTGAGCCCTAGAATTTTCCTATCAGCATCCCAGCACCTTAAGGATTCAGAAGGTATTAGCCTACTCAGGCAGAAAGTATTTGGAAGAAATCAGGTTGATTTGGCTAAGCAGTCTGGTCAACAATTTACAATCATTGTGCATGCCGAACCCGCTGTACAAATGTTGCCAGTTGTCACCTATCAAGGTTTAGAGGTAACATAATAATTGAACATTAAAGAAGTAAATAAAATATTCTTTTCTGGGCGTTACTTGATCAATATTTCAATCAGATCTCACCTTCTGCGCAAATCCGATCATATCTCCCTATATCTTCACATCTTGCTTTGCGTGCTGGGTGGCTACCTTGCTCTTTAACTGGGTACTGCACGCCGCTATACGGACAGCTGTCATTACAGCACTTGAAATAAGGCCTGGAACATCCCACTTCCCTAAACTAGAGGCAAAATGAAAGATACACTTGCCGCACTTGCCGAAATAATGCAAAAACACCCAGAAACACTCATCAAAACCCATCAAACTAGCCACGCGAAACGACAACTAGAATCGTCTCTAATGCGCCAGAAACAACGCATCAACCACTGCATCAACCAAACACACAAACATAAATGATGTTTTTGTATATTTTTGTAAATGTTTCTTAATGTTACTTACAAAAGAAGGTTAATTGGTGCTTTAACCCTCGCATGTGTAGGGGGGGGGGGGGTCGGATGGACCCCCCCCCCATGGTTTTTCGCGAATAACTCGCGTAAAAAGCGGCCGATCGCGACGAAACTTTCAGTACCCTCGCATTGATCAATTTTACACCTACCCTGAAAATTTCATGACCCTGACCCAAATGACCTTTGACCTGTGACCTCTTTTCCGAGACCATGTTTGGCCGGAATCGCGATTCCGCGTATGTCGGCTCGCACTAGCCGCGTGTTTGCAAGCTTTTCGTGGTTTCAAACGTTCAAACATGTGATTTGATGTTACTCCCGTGTGTGTCAAGGTCACCTGAAGGTCAGGTCAGGTCATTGACCTTTGGTGACCTCGGGTGACCTCGGGTCACTTTTTCGAGTTTTACATGTTTCTAGGCTAGTTTTTGGAGCTGAATTCGAATTTAGCAACCATTTGAACATTTACGGAGTAGTTTTGGTGACTTCGTAACATGTTACGAAGCTGTCAGAGGCGGTTGACACGTACTACGAATACCCGTCACGACGCCTACTGGTTGACCTGACCTGACCTGACCCGACCTGGTCTAAATGCTTCAAGACATCATCTGTGATCAAAACTAACACGATATTCGTGATCAGCACCCCGAAAAACCCCTTAGCAGCCACACTTTACGACTTTCTAACAGGTCCCGATTTTCCCGACTTTGGGTCATTGACCTGACCTGGAAGGTCAACCAATGACCTAGGACCTTAAAATTGGGTATCATCGGCTTCCTCTCGTCACGGGCAACACGCTCGTTTTTTCCGCGAAGCTCTAGCTCGATCAGGGGCCAAACGGCAAGGGGGGGGGTCCAACCGACCCCCCCCCCCCCCCTACACATTAGAAGCTGGCAAACGCCGCACACATGCGAGGGTTAAAACTCTTATTCTTTTCAAATATGTATAATTCAAAGAAAAATTCACTTGAAACTGACAAAAAATATTGCATGACGTCATCAAAAAGAATTAAAGACGTTGCAGGATACTGCTTCATAAAAGATGGCTTTTTAGAGCTGTCATGGGCAAAATGAGTTGATTCTTTTCGTATTTTTATTGATCATTGAACAATTCCCTTTTTAAGACAATTTGTTTTGTTTCGAAAATATGTCGTTGGAATATTTCACAAATAATGAAATTCCTTTTTGCAATATTTATAAGAAAGATAGCACATAAAAAGGCGTAGCAGATACCTTTAGCTACACGACTCAGAGTATGAAGAATTAGTTATGGCTACACTGGAAACTGCTACAAAGAGCGGCCAGATTCGTCATAAAATGGAGCACAAAGCTGACGTTTTGAACTTGTGTTGGCTTTACAGATGTTTTGTTCATATTCGCCGACGAGATCACTGACCGGTGGTACCTCTATTTCGAAAATGCGCGAATTTTGATGTTTTTATTGTATTTTTCTTTATGATCTACGGAAGAGAGAAATGCTGATTTTGCTACAAATGAAGGAACAATAAACCGATATCTGCTACCTACTGGGGTATGAAAGTATGAGGGATTTCCCAGCCCTGCTAGCCGGTCGCCAGTTCCCTGCCGGCGAGCCTCGAGGCCCAGCGTGCGAGGGTATGACGTCACCATAGGACGGTCGGATGACGTCACTGGCCGCCGTGCAGCCGTCAATCAGAGGTGTATTCAGGCGAGCCCCGTACACGGGCTGATTACATTTCTGGCCGGCATTCAGGCTGGCAGGCTGTAGTGATACACCCGGACGAGATGGAGCCTGACGCGAACAAGCGGCTCATCACAGCGTGCCGCGCAAAGTCGCCAGCATGGCTTATTACTGCCATGCTCCTGAGAGAGATATTGAAAGGCGAGGCGTCGCGTTGGAAGAGTCAGTGGCTCCAGTAACATGCCAATGAACTCTGTACAACATATCTGGTATTATTGCTGTGCCTACCCACCTTCCGTGCTGGTTCGATATAATTGTTAGCGATTTTTTTGTTAATCTTACGCAAGATGTTTTTTTTTTTGCAGGCGGCAGACACAGTGAAGTGTAAACAATGTGGTGAAATGTCCAACGAAATTGATTGAGTGTTACGGAGGAATTAAACGTGCATACCATGTATCCTCGTACTGCGGAATGCCGCTAGCGTTGACATTTCAATGACTGAAATGTATTGACCCATTCATGACTGGGGGAGGAGGCTCTACATTTACAAGGCCACTCCTCTCACGTCTTTCTGCAATATCTTCAAAACCGCTCAACGTATCGGTGTGAAACTTCCATTATTCTCGACTACATCAACTTGACACCCTGGGTCCAAAAGAAATTCGTAGCTCATGGACCGGCCGGAGATGTCACCAGAGTGAGGTCATGCTCGGCCGATTTCGATGCAAATCGCTCTCAACAGCCCATCTTTTTAGCTTAGCACCTTTATTTGTTTGAGATGACACAGAATACACACATTTCTGACAAAAACGATATTCCGTGACGAACCTTCTTTACGACTAATAAAGCTACATGGCTAAGTGGAGAAGACATGGCATTCAACATAAGTTTGACTTGAAAGTTGAAACGCATGATTGTTTGCCGTTGCTTGGATACGCTGTCTTCTTGGGCTTCCCGTAATGACGTATAGCTGCTTTTTCTTGATACCCCAAATCGGTGTCAAGTTGGGCGTTAGCGCCACGTCAGGTACGTATGTATTCCTGTTGCGTATTCGCCCCTGCCAATGATCAGTTAGGTATATTGCAAACGCTTTATCGGCCGCTATTCCTAAGGATGAGCCTTAGTTGCATGTTTTACAACGGCCTGATTGGCTGTGATCCTAATTTTCCGCCTGATTTGGTACCCATGCTATTCTCGTTCAATGACCATTTAGTCTCTGGTTCGTTAAATGCTCAAGCCCGCATGTCCAATTCGTCTTGTGATTATACGAACGTCGTATCCATTCAGGGACAAGTGTGATGGTCTTTATAACGAGCAGGTTCCGTATTCCTTTACAAATAGTTATAAAATATTCCTGCGAAAAGGCTCAGCTAAAATCTGTTCGTACTTCGTTTCGTTACTTGATATGCCTACATGCTTGTATGATTGCATGATTGCATGAGTATTGAGTATAATACCTAGAGTGGTATTACAATCATGCTTCATTACCGCAAATAGAAGGAAATCGATGTTGGGTACCTAAGAAGTATCACCACATGTCAGCTAATGCCGATTTGGACGAGCCCGCAGCCACAGGTGGTCCCAGCCGTGGATAAGAAGGGAGATAACCCCCAAAGGATTATGTTTATATGTCGTCGAACTGCAAAGTTTTGCATGGTAATTCCATCAGTAATGATAGCTCAGTGAAGTTTGATGACCTTTCGAATCCATCATTCTATCTCATCGCAGCGGATGCCGTTTCAAGTGCGGTGGAAAACCGAGCAACAAGACGCGTAAAATTAGGAAATGGAGATCTTGCATGATGTCGGATAAGAAATAGACAGAATCGATGCATTTAAATGACGCAGATTTCTGTTAATGCATACATAATGCGACTTTGGCGACGGTCCATCGGAAACCGCATACCTACGTGATGAAGTGCGGGGAGCCGGGTCTCCGGGCTGGCTCAGCGCGGCCGGTCATCACCCGGCGCCCTTTGGGGAGCGGCAGCTGCGCCGGCCGTCGCCGATTGACATTCATGCCCAGCCCTGGAAGTGCCATAGCGCCGGGCCGTCGGAGCTTAGTTTCCACTTTCCAGAGTCGTTAAATTTTGGCGAGCGCTGCTTTGGGAATTGGGACCTAATAGCATGGTCCTGAATCTGGGCTGTCACATGAAATTATTTTTTGTCGCATTTAAATTTATAAAGGCAGCCCAATCTTCGAGACAATGTAATAGATAATGATTGAAAAACGGAAACTTTAAGTGACTCAACCAGACTTTGAATGACAAGTAAAGGGCAAGACGCATCTGAAATGATGTTGCGCAGATTACGACACAGTGATTCCGAATCTCTCTCATAGCTACTTTGGGAACCTGCGAATATTCTTGCCTATCCATATTTTGCCCACTGTGTTGAATAGCTGAAGAGGTCTGTAACCTCGTGTTTTACGAATGCCCTTAATAAGAGCTACATTGCCGGCTGCCCTTGAATTTCTGACTAATAACACAATGAAAACTGTGATGGGAGAAATTGTACCTCCATATGCCCCCACGAATTGGGATAATGCACGTAAATGAACATAATAGCCGGCATGATCGTCAGATATCGTATCCCATCATGTCTGGTGATTCTCGACCGATTCTAAATGAATGCAACCGATATCTGTCATCATTCTATCCCTGCGCCGTCGGGCCGAGCCTGGTGGAGGCCGGTGTCGTACCTCCAGCCCGGCGGCGCTCGCCATCCCCGTCTGTCTCCTTCTGCGTCTCCCCGCGCGGCGTGTCCCGTTTCTCTGCGTCTCATTAGGGTGACCTGTTGCGGTCGCGTCCGGCACCCTGAGGTCGCCGACGGCCGGCGCGCCGCCGGCGGCGCGCAGTTCGATCGGTGTGACGTCATGTGTGACGTCACGACCCGTTCGGCGCGGCGCGGATCCATAGCCGGCGGCGGCAGAACGGAGTGGGGCGCGGCGCCATCTTCCTGTGTCGGCGGCCGGCCGTGTGAGACCGTGTCCGCCCGGCCCGCAGAGAAGGCGGCCATGGTGCGGCGGCGAGCCGCCTGCGCGCCGCTGGCCGGCCTGCTGCTCACCATACTGCTGGGCCCGCCGGCCGTCCAGCCGGCCAAGGAGGTGTTCACAAACACCTTCTACGTGCAGCTCAAGGGGCCGCACGGCGCCGACAAGGCACACGAGATCGCCAAACGTTCCGGATTCGAAAACCTCGGCTCGGTGAGTGCTGCGATAGTGGTGGGAGTGGTATTGGGTGTCCTACCACCGCCATATGCTGTCGCCCGCATCCCCGCGGTCTCCCCCAAGCGCTAGAGCACCAGGGCCTGAGGGTAGCAAAGGTCGTAAAGCCAATAACAGTGACAGCTGTGTGGCTTCTATAACGAAACTGGTGGGCTGTGATCCTTATAGAGTCCTTAGAAACGCGGAGTGGTAGTTTGATCGTTCATCCACAACAATGCCAAACTTTTTTCTTTTCAAAATACAGCAATTTGTAGGCATTTGAGCATTTTGCAAACGTCAATGGCCTTCACTATTCGGCTGTCAATTGGCATCTCTATCAAAGTGCTATAAGCAGTTCGTAGAAATTTTCGTCGCGCGTAATGTATCTAATTATGGTTTATCATTGGTGACTTTTATCTAATGTTCTTTGAATATGGGGGTGCGAACTGCAATTACCCTGGAATAGTCGCAATATGCAAAGTTGAACTTGCGCAAAACAATGAAATGCTGAAACATGAAATGTGGTGAAGCAGTGAATTGCAAATGGGATAGATTTGCTCAATGACTTAGCTGATGATGCTTACCAAAAGCCAAGTGTGCTGGAGAAAGAGCATTGGCTTTTTCATAAATAGGTATAAAGATAACCGCATGTAGGTAACTCAGAGTCTTCATGATTGAAGACGCAGCATCTGTAATGCTCTAAACAAAACTCACTGCTTGTGTCAAAAAGGATCGGTTCATCTTGTCCCAACATATTATCTGATGCTGCATTACCTACGTCCAAAACCAAGAATCTTTTCAGATAAATCGAAAATGTGGCGCATATGCGGCATGCATTGTGCATCGTGCTTAGGATGATAAGAATGGTTCGGGACCGGAATAGTTTTCAACTACTGTACCATTATGAGTTGGGATGCTTGCCATTTATTTGAAATAAAGAATGTTACCTAATATTTGTATTTCTTTCCTGATACCCCATGCTTAAACGATAAAAATAGTAGGTAATTAAAAATGCCAAAGTTTTGCAATCAGTCTCATTCCAAGTCATCCACCACGCTATAGCCAGAAAATATGGCAATTACCTACAGCGAGGTAATGCAAAGCTACACATTTTCAGATGAACCAATGGGATTGCTCGGTATCTATTACAGTGCTTCGGCCTCACTAGTGCCACTGTACACTGACAACCAAAACGATTCTCTATTCCCTTTGATCATGGTGTGTCATGCTCCTATAACTCTGCCGTTCTCCTGGCGGAATGCCCTTAAGATACTCAAATGATTCCTCAAATGATTCCTTTTAAGCATATCATGGGTTTTGGTCTAAAACAACACCCTGATCATTTTCTTCAAACATACCCAAACTACACCCTCATTCTTTAAATACCTCCCTTGAATTTTTCTAATATACCCTAGTGTACAGTCTCTGCCGCTATTGTCAGATACCGTACCTGTGCCGCTCGGCGCCTCCGGCGGTGACCGGTCGGCGGGCCGGGACTGGCCGGCCGGGCGGGCGAGGAGGACGGGCAGTCGCTCCCTGGACGTGTTGCTGACCACTAATACAGCACCGAACGCGGTGCCGTCTTCGCTGAGTGCGTGTGGGCGGTGCGACGACATAACAGGCAGCTATAAGCTTGTTTTGACGCGCGGTATGGGCAGCTATAACCAGTCGCGGCGCAAGTGCGTTTGAGCCAGGTGATTCGCAACCGCCACCCAATCAGCATACTGCAATCCAGTGCCGGCAGTGATGTACATGACACGTGATCAGACAGCTGAGCCGAAAGCGCGCCAATTTTCAAAGGGTTTGAGCGCGCCAGTTGAGTTTGAGCGTGCAGTGGAGAAAGACGGTTGTGCTCAGCGCGGGTGATAGCGGGTGTGTAGTGTGTGCATTGATCATTCGAGCAAAGGACGTCGTGGAGGACATCGAAAGCACAGCTGTGGAACCCAGAAAAGACGAAACCTGCACGACAACGACTTTTCGGCGTGCCGGAAACCGGAAAATTCACCCAAGAGACCCCTGGTGGGCGTGTTTGCCCGCACCCGGTGTAGATCTGCATGACTATTTTACGGTCAGCGCCCGGACCCGAGCAGTGCGCAGTATCTGGTCCTATTATCCCTTTTACAGGGTCCGGCATATAAGTTTTGTCTTGTAAAAATGTGTCGTGTAAGCTGCTAGGTGAAAGTCAGCAATTGTTACAGGATATGCAATGCTCTAATGACATCTCTTTGGTAATGAACAGTTATTTAACATACACGCCATTTTTGCGTTGCTGAAACCACCGTTGATTTTCGTGTTTTATAACCGAACTATATAGATATTAAATATCCATTCATGATGATCTCAGATTTACTTATCCAAAGTTGCGTCTTATCGGAAGAGAAACGGTGAAGCTATGTCCATGCTGTTGTCACCAATGTAAAACATGAATAATAATAAAAGACCAAATGTCTGTGAGTTTTGGATGTGTTACGATATATAAAGGGAGATCGGACGAGGGAGCTGAGAGTAATGAGACAGTTTCTGAGCAAGTTCTACGACGAATATACCTAGGGCACTATTATTTTCCTTTCTGGGTTTATGTGGGGTTTAATGCAAGAATACATTGAGATCAGTGATGGAAATCACAGAATAATACGGGAGTATTAAGTGGTATAATGCGAGTATAGTTTGCAAAATATTCCCCTTATACGCTTAGAAGGAATACTAGAGGTTTCGATGTAAGGGTATTTTGGTAGGTTAAAAGGAGTGTACTGTGGGTATCGCAGGGAGTAGAACAGGAATCATATTCCTTTCCTCTTCGGTACTTACTAGGGTATATTAGAAGAATTCAAGGGAGCTATTTAAAGAACAAGGGTATAGTTTGGGTATATTCGAAGAAATGATCAGGGTGTTGTTTTAGACCAAAACCCCTAATATACTTAAAAGGAATCAAAAAGGTTTCAGTGTAGGGTATATTAGAAGAATTTCAGAGCGATATTCAAAGAAAGTGTATTTGGGATATATTCGGAGAATTGATCAGGGTGTTGTTTTAGACCAATTCCCCTAATATGCTTAAAAGGAATCAAAAAAGCTCTCAGTGTAGGATGCAGTGGCGTCAGGGGCGAATGTCCTCTCCATAGCAACGTCCGAACTCCTATTGGGCGTCCGAATAGCAGCGCTCAATAGGAGCTTTTTCCTCACATTGCAGAGCACCAGAAACGGAACCTCACACCACTTTTGTGGCGCAGTTGGTAGGAACGCTCACAAAATCGTGATTTTTTTAGCACGTCACTGGAACGCATGTATCATTTCGCGATTGGACCTCAAGGCTCAAATTAGAGCGTTAGTGGAAGAAGGTGATTTCTTCAATTTCAGACAGCACACAAATTTCCGTCGTTCTGTTCAGGCAGGATGCAATGAGCATAATGATATGTTGACTTGTGATAGCTCCCGATCAACTTTTAACATGAGTGCCTTCAAAGAACACATTCAGCACTTTAGGTAGTCACAACGCTATGCGCAATGCACAATGTTCACTATTGAAGCAGCCAACCGTATAGCAGCGAGCTCAGGTCGTGGGGAGACGCCTGAAGTCAACTTTGACAAACAACTTATAGGCTGATTACTTTTAGATTACTTTCTTGGTTATGCGCATACTTTGGGGCTAGCTTCTATCATCAAATAATTTTCCCGATGATGTGCTCAAGCCTTGATGACATACCATCTCATCAGCATTTATAGCATTTACTGCCCATAAAGGCTAGGATAGGTACCTACTAGCAAACTAAAACTACGCTTCCGTCGTTTTCCTTGATTTCGCATTGAATCATAGAAGAACCTAATTTCTCTGAGTTGGTCCTATCATAAAACAAGCGTCAAATACCTGGCTGCGCAACCGCAGGCTGATCAGTGATCACTGAACAGTGCACAGCCGATCCCAACTCAAAGGGCAGCGATCACTGAACAGTGCACAGTGCACAGTGCACAGCTGATCCCAGCTCAAAGGGCGGGCGACTGGTCGACTGCATAGGTAGGCTGTACCGCATCACACAGCTGCCTTGCGGCACAGCCTATCCCGGTCCTGGCAGGCGGCCGCTCGCCGCCCGGCCAGGCCGAGCCGGCTCAGGCTAGCGAGTAAATGAATGCCAACCTCTCGAAGCCGCTTTTGCTTCTAATTCTAATCGAACCAGTCAGAGGACAAGCCTGAAGCCATGCGTCCTCACTCCATATGCTTGGCATGTGTGCATCTGTTGGGTGGCATGCTTGGAGCTGCAGCAAAATTAGCGTCCAATTATGAGTTTCGCAAATTGCGCCTCAAGAGCGTTGCTGATGTTAGAGTGAGTTCGCCCGAAACAAAACAACCCATGAGAGTTTACCATAGCTGAGATGGTGCGCATCTTATTTTCGATTCAAGAGTGCTTGTACGTATATCAGCGGATAGGCATTCAGAATAAAGCCGAACTGTGTTAGAGCGCTCCATTGTAGCGGCGGCTGCAGCTTATATAGGAACCATAAAACCTTTGTCCTTATCCGAATTCTGGGGGCTGTGATTGTACAAATAACATATGAAAAGAGCTAGTCATGCGCAATAAGGTGGAGATGTGGACAAATCCACCACGGTCTGCACACTGTACACTGTAAAAAAAAAACTTACAAGCCCCTCGTAGAGGAATTCTCAGCGCAAAAATAACATTGCAGGAGCGTGTAAATTTGGCTAATTTTAGGCTAGTTGCCGAGTAACAAGCTTGTTCGACAAGGCTGTGCCTCGTATGCATACGACCACCGTGCTCCACCTAGTTTGACAACACGCACGTAAATAGCGTGGGTAGTGCGTCTACTAGGTGTCATAACAGCCCCTGCCTGGTAAGGTAACTAGCCACTGCCTACTAATCCATACCCAGTAATGGTACTAGCCCCCAAGGCTAGTAGTGGTACTAGCTCAAGGCCAGTAGTGGCACTAGTTAACTAGTACCACTACTGGCCTTCGGGGTCGAGGCACTGGGTCGACGGAATTCCGTCGACGGAATTCCGTCGACCAGTGCCCCCGACTCTCGACCGCCACCCGCAAGTAAACAGACTGAGTAGCGCTGCAGCACATTTATTCGGGCACGAGAACGAGAACGAGAACAATAACACGCCAGGACAATAACTATAACTTTAACAACAACAACAACAACAACAACAACAACAACAACAACAACAACAACTAACTGAATAATTTTCAATAAGGTTTCTTAAATAACCACCATCAAACATTTGTGATTTTTTCATTAGCTCTGCACCGCCGGCAGTCGCGGGGTGCAGGTAGGCCAGGACATTGGCCCCATTCTTTACCAGAGAAGTCTGTAATGGGTGAAAAAAAACGAATATTAACATTATTATTATCATAAGGCATACCAATCTGGAAAATGATTAAATTAAAGTTGAATAAAGTGATAGATTCCTGCCACAAGCTAGCTTAAGTCCCAAACAATATAGCTATTCTGACTTGGATAGACGATACCGGCGCACTTCTGCCAACGACGGGCAAACATAATGCGATACTATACATCTTCTAGCTCAACAACATAATAACTTTTGTTTACAAGTGGACAACCTTTTTGTTGAGCACACAGCAAATGATACAAGATGCCTCACCTTCAATCAAGCCAAAGAGCAGTTGGGCAGACACACACAGTAATGGCGACGCAACACAAAATGGACGCCGGCTCCCGGAAGCGGGGGGGGGGGGGGGCTCCTTCTGAAAGCAGCCACAGACTCCTAGGTTGTAACATGCGACGAGGATAGCTATGAGGCACATCCTCATAGCCATCCAAAGCCGCTGACCACGCAAGCTTGCCAGCACGTTTACCAGCTGCAGGCGTTCGTGACAACAAGCGGGGTTGCACGCAAGGTTATCCGTTTAGTAGGTGCCAGCCGGGGCCTCGTCAGCTGAGCTAATAGCGAAATGACCTAATTGAGGGACACGCTAAAAACTGGCCGAGAACAAGCCAACGGCGGGTAACACTGTGAGGCTGTGCGTAGTTCATTAACACTGCGCAAAATTAGGTTCCTGAACATGTTCTCGCTCGTAGGCATTTGTTCCACAAGCGGCATTGTTAACGTGCATGGCTCTGACTACTAATGTCCATATATGTTGTAACGAGGAGCAAGGGAGGCACTCGTAAAAAATGCCTAATTTCAAAATTAGCTAGTGATTTTTTTTTACAGTGTACCCTCAGGTTCTCGATTCTTGGCACATAAGCCGAGCACTGTATCGCACAGTACCCTTCTGATACATGATAGAACACCGGGCCCAAGCCGATTCCGAGCTATGTGCCAGTCAGGGACTGTGAAGAAGACAGGGGTGGTTCTAAAAAGTTGCACTTGCTGAGCTGAATGCTCCTCTCTCCCTCTCCGGGGTATGTAACAATTCAAGCTAGGCTCGCCTAAATGGTGTGCTTGTAGAGAGCTATGGACTGTGAATGCATAATACATTTATTGATTCTATCATCTGTGCATTGGTGTGGCAATGATGATGGCGAGTTCGGAAAGTCAAAACCATGGACCTAAATGAGAATAGAACATCGATTAAAGCTATCTTTGGAATTATTACTCATACAGGTAAGCTATTTCAGCATAAGAGAGTACAAAGAAAATGATTTCCCAAGTTTGAGCAGCCCTAAAGTAAACTGAAATGGCAATCAACCATTAATGATATGTAAGCATGAGTGAGTAGCCTTTCCAAATATATTCAATATTTCTCAGAAAGTGATAAAGATACAACATTGAAACTTCGAATAGTGAATGCGGCACACATTTTCAGTAAATGGTGTGATTTTCATGGTGTTCGGTAAATTACTTTTTAAACGGTTCGTGTTTCAAGCATGCCATGTAAAAATTACTTTTTTGCTCCGATGTTTACTAAAAAATGTGAGTGAACGGGTCACTTTCACCCCGCGGCACCGCGGCCTAGAGCCATGACTTCTACTGGCAGCTAGTCTCATTGATGGTTCGGGTCTCAGGATGACACATTCCCTCAGGCAACCACGATGGCTCTGTGCCAGCGGCATCGGAAGAAGTTTCCAGTTTTCTAACCATCTTGTGGCTCAAATGCTTTCCTGGTTGACATTCCTGGGAAAAGGTAGCTTTTCAACCAGTTTTTTTTTTTGTCATCTGCTGGCAATGTTGTTTTTCATAAGCTATTCTGTGGTCGTCTGGCACAGGAACCAGTCTGCTTTAGTTTGTTTTCCTTATCCGGTCGATTTACTGTTTGATCTACTGAAAGGAGGGTAATCAGCAGTAATCCATGCACCGTGCCACTCCTGCTCGAAACATGATTTGGTGTTGAAACGAATGGCATCCATGAGCACCATTTTGGCTCAGTATTTGAATATTTGGCACATAAGTGAGACAAAAATATTTAAAAATAGAACATACGTGTTGGCTTCATTCACGTGCTCTATTTTTTATTCTTTTTTATAACATGGGACGTTTAACCCAATCATCACTATCGTTTGACATCGGCAAAAAAAGCAAAAACGTCTTGCTTAATTCAACTCAACATTGCCAGCTTGAAAATGATGGTATAGTGTTATAATTTGGCATACCAATGCGCAAAGAAATGACGCAAACATGATGAAAATTTTGGCTCGTTATTTGTACTCGTATTTGATATATAGGCCTCCAAAGTTCGGAACGTTTTTTCTGGGCCACCCGGTATATGCATGCAGTCATGGCTAAGTCAGCCACCAACTCGGAACGCGTTTTGTGTGACGAGTCGGCATCAATGGGCATTGAGCATGGACGCGTCCAATTCTGTCACGTTGACCGCTTTATCTTCGGTGGCAGCCGGCCGCTGGGCCAGTCAGTCGCGTATGATTGGTAGTGACAAAGCCCAGGGACGTCAATTAACCATGGAACGAAGTTTGCGCCGCCAGTGCCCAGTCAATAACTGTCGCCGTCGCGGTCTGGGAGGAATGTCCCGGTCGCCAGCCAGACCCAAACCGGTCTGCGGCTGGCTCACGGCCAGAAATCTGAAGGAATGGTATGGCAGGATAGTCTGCTGGGGTCTGGGGCCGCCTGGGTGTCTCATAGTATTCTCCACTCTCCAGGTGGTCTGACGTGACTAGTTTCATCTGTGCTGAAAACCGTACATATTCACTCAAGATCTTAAAAAACTATGATCTTGAAAGTGTATGCCATCATTGCTTTTCATGTCTAGCTTAAACTGTTTTATCTCTCTCTCTCTCTCTCTCTCTCTCTCTCTCTCTCTCTCTCTCTCTCTCTCACACTCTCTCTCTCTCTCTGTCTCTCTTTGCTCTCTCTCTCGCTCTCTCTCTCTCGCTCTCCCTCTCTCTCTCTCTCTCTCTCTCTCTCTCTCTCTCTCTAATTCCCTCTCCCTTCCTCGCTCCGTCCCTCCCTCTCCTTCCTTTCTTTTATGTGTGTCTCTCTGTCCGTCTGTGTGATCCGCAACTGATACGCTCTCTCTCCATCCTCAGGTTCTCGGGTCGCCTCACGAGTTCCATTTCGTTCACCGCGGCCTATCGGCTGCCAGGACCAAAAGGAGCGTCCCCCACCTGCGTCAGCTGAAGGCGCACCCCCTGGTAAGTGGTCGAGGATCGGTTATCATTCTCTGCAATTATAAAGCGTAAGATATCGTCCGTCCACCAAACTTGCTGTTTTTTTTTTAGGATTATGCCTACCAAGACGAGATTGAAAAAGGAATCTTTAATTGTCAGGACGGCTGGTAGTGATATACATATACCTATTTCATATATAAGTACCTACTTCGCATAGTTTCTTCACTTTTACACCGCCTTTTGTCGGCCACTGTCGAAAACAATGGCTTATTTCTTCACAGATTTGAGATATCGCCGTCTTTACTCATCTGTATGCTTATTGCTTAGGAAAACAAAGACCAATATCCGAGCCTAGAAAATATGAATAAGTGCTTCCTATCCGTGGCGAGGCAGCCCCTGCTAAAAAATCGTTTTTTTTTTGTGTGGTTATATATAATACTGAACGAGGCCGGTGTAAATAAATTTTCAAGACCGAGGTCCTTACTGGATTTTTGAACGAGGCCGAAGGCCGAGTTCAAAAATCAGTAAGGACTGAGGTCTTGAAAATTTATCACCGGCCGAGTTTGGTATGTATTTTACTGTATGCCAACGATAAATTTATTTTCTGGACCGAAGCTCTTAGCCGACTTAGGAACGAGACCATCCCAAAATGTTGGCTTAAGTGCATTCTGGTAATGCATTTTTGACCGTGGTCAATTTGCTTACACCAGTCATTACCACACCCCTCTGGCTAATGTATTTGAATAGGCCAGGCATACAGTAATCTCTAATCTCTATCCATGCAACCATGTCTGTAAGTACGCATGCAAACCTCTTTTGAGAAGACCCCAAGCCATCGTTTACCAGCCATTAATATCTCCCTGTCCCGGAAGCTATCTCCCTTTGGGGCGGCTTCTAGCTGACGATCGACCGCCCATCGACCGGAACGTGGCGGCGACAGTTCCCGTCAGTGTCTGTCCCGAGAATCGCTGTCGATTGAACATACCCTTCCCTGAGGAGACAGACCCTTCCTTCAGGAGAAGTAGTAATCGAGACCGTAATGAAGACATTAGCGAAACTGTTCCACCGACTATTTACTCGGCTGGTGATCGTATCCATCTGCATGAACGATGTTGAATTAGGGCATTTCATGATGGTTCCATGAGGGGTCATCAAATGAGTGCCTGAAGTCAAACGGCTAAATGTGGTTTATATGAGCAAAGTAGGCTCCCAGGACCTGGAGCCGTTGCTTGGTTGAAAATAGTCGGATTATGAGACGAATAGCCACGAGTCTTAATCACCCAAGAAAATATCTATCATTTGTTTTCGTCAAATTCTATTTTTTGTTGTTGTTGTCAACTACACCTTTTTAGGCGCAATTTCAAAAAGTTAAAGACCAAATTCAAAAAGTTTACATTCAAAATGCACGTGAACGTTTTGAATTTGGTCTTTAACTTTTTGAAATTGCGCCTAAAATGCTGTAGACATTCAAAATCTGAAAAATCCAATCAAATGGCTCAAAACAATGGATTAGTTTAAATGCTGATTGGACCCAACTACGCAGACTATGTGCTTTCTTCAAATAACGCGCATCTTTGTACTCAAGTTCCTTTCCATTTGAGTGGACGCTTATTTTCTTTGTTTTCTATAGGTGCCGTTCTCTGTATGTGAATTTACATGCACCTTTCCCTACCTCAGGTCTGCAGGGTGATCCAGCATATCCTTATCTCCATATACGTGTTTGTACCCGCACTCATATCAGGTTGGTCCTCCCCTATATCTGGCTTGGTGCGTGTACCCCCTCCCATACCAGGTCCGCAGCGTGGCCCCTATCTGATCCTTTCACTTTCTCTCACACCAGGTTCGCCGGGTAGTCCAGCAGACCGGCTTTAGCCGTCAGAAGCGCGGCTTCCGGCCGCTCCGGCAGCGGCGCGGATACAAACCACTGCGGGTCGAAAATCTGGTGGAGCTGGAACCGCACAAAGACCCCACTGACCCGTTCTTTAAGTACCAGTGGTATTTGGTAAGTACCCCAAGGCGGATATTGTGAAATGCGGTGATGGGATCTACTTTTTTCGCTCGGCTGCTGGTTTTGCTTGACTAAAAGGCACACAAGCTTGTTTTTACTGACTTCGAGTCGCGAAAAAGTACTTAGCAGGCAAAACAACCCAGTCATTTGCATGTGTCTGAGTGCGACATGCCTGCCCCTGCAATGCCAGTACTCGTTAGCACGACAGTTTGCGCTAAAACGTTTTTAGTGGAATTGGGTTTCAAATACGGGCTGAACTGGTGGCTTATGCATTATGTAACTCCGAGGGGGGAAAAGCTAGAATAATGGTCAGTCGTTCGCCTGATTTATACAGTGAAAATGGTAAAAATGCGATCGAGTTGTACCCTCCAAGTCTTAGTAGCCATACTTTTATTAACCCTCGCCGGACCTACTGGTTTTCTACATACGCGCCGGCCGAGGGGGGGGGGGGGGGGCGGGTACGACCCCCCCCTCGCCGTTTCGCCCCTGGTGGAGCTAGCGCGTCGCGGAAAAACGAGCGTGTGCGCCGTTACAAGACGCAGAGATTGGTACCCGATTTTAAGGTCCTAGGTCAACCGGTGACCTCTGAGGTCAGGTCAAGTGCCCCAGGGTACGGTTCAGTTTTTGGTGAATAACTTCGCAAAAAACGGCCGCAGAGCCGCGATTTTGGCAGCGTCGTGTTCGCCTCGCTCAGGTGCGTCGAATGGTATACTTTTTGTCCGGGTCAGGTCAACTTGGGGTGTTGACCTCAGGTCAAGGTCAGGTCAGCACCCCCAGGTCACGAAGTTGGTCGAAAGAGGTCATGTCGCATATCATTCGATTCGGCAGGTCTTCCTGAGTCCATTGGTGGCTTTCTCGACTCGCTAGCTCAATTTGATCAAGAGTTATTGACGAAAAACGAATATGACCTTGATGACGTCATAGATGACGTCACGCAAGGTCAACATTGCAAAAGTGACGCATCTAACCTTTCAAGGAGTGCATCAAATCACGATTCTGTGTGCTTGAGATAGTTGGAGATCGTTCCCGGCGCCAGAATAGCAGTTTTCATTTTTCCCCATTGACTTATAATGGTGAGGTCACGAAAATGACCTGACCTCATATGACCTTTAGGAAAAATCCGAGATATACAAGTTGTGACACTCATAATGGATACTAGATCCTGCAAGTTTCATTTCCCTGTGACATCTCCTCTGGCAGTGAGGGCGTTGCGAAGTTGCGACATCTGAAGACCGTGCAGAGGTTCACTTATGACGTCATAGGTCAGTGACCTGACCTGACCCAAAAATGCGGTTGGTGTCAAAAGATCCGGCTTGGATCAAAGGTCAGGTATGCCAAGTTTAAGCTCTCTATCGCCAGCGTGTTCGGAGCTATCGCGAAAAAACCCTATGGGGGGGGGCGGCACCCGCCCCCCCCCCCCTCGGCCGGCGAGGGTTAACAAATATCGTCACATTTCTGGAAGTTCACTGCAATACAAGCGGCCACAGAGAATGTGGGTCACAAAGCAGCAGGATAATCTTATGTTACTTAAGGCGTATCGTCATTTAGCCAGTGGTGAGATCCCTGAATAGTTTGAACGCTTCCCCGGAAGTTTTTAGCCAAGGATAATGCGAGCGCGTTGACCTGTCACTGAGTGCACCCACTCTCAAATCAGCGACAGGGCTTTCCAGATAACCTTTGGCCGAGGGCGTCAAACACCGCGCTCTAATGGACCAGTGTCCCGAACTTTGACACTCCATCCGCAGTGATAGCTAAACCCGTACAGATCTGTTTCAGTTGTGCGGCGACATCCTCATCTCCCGTCTGGTTGTTTTAGTCATATTATCCTATACCCATCTGGCTTAAATTGCTCTTCAACGCTTCAAGCGGATCCCGTTTCAGCGCAAAACAGTTTTGGCTAGCCAAAGAAGCTCATGTTTCTCTGCAATTTCCACACAACCAGCCTACCTTTCGACGCAATGACCGCAGAGTTGTTCTACTATTTTAAAACAATGTTATATCCAATAACGTAACTAGAGTATCATTTTGCGCTATCTTCCTTATTTTACTTGTTATATGTGAATTCCGTGCTCTGTGCCGCAGAAAAACACGGGTCAGAATGGCGGCAAGCCCAAGCTGGACCTGAACGTGGAAGCGGCCTGGGCGCAGGGCATCACGGGCAGGAACGTCACCACTGCCATCATGGATGACGGCGTCGACTACATGCACCCCGACCTGCGGGAGCGCTTTGTGAGTACCGGAGGAGAGAGAGAGGGAGAGAGGGAGAGAGGGAGAGGGAGAGAGAGAGAGAGAGAGAGAGAGAGAGAGAGAGGAGAGACACCCCGACCTGCGGGAGCGCTTCGTGAGTAACTGGGGGGGGGGGGAGCCTGTGTGCATTATATACCTTAATTAACATACGGGAGTGCTTTGCTAACTAGTCATGGGTACCGAGTGTCCGTGACGACTGTTGAAGCCATATAGTTTTCTAACAAAATCACGACTCATTGGAACGAGGCTTCCCTGTGAACGCCGGCTGTGTCGCTCAGTGATTGATTTCTGCAATCACGGGAATTAAATGTACTGTTTAATTGAAAAAGCACATATTCTAACAAACGAGTTCGTTGTAATAAGAATGTGAGAACAGGAAAAATTGAATAGTGCGCACTAGTTATACTGGTACAGTTTTACATAACACCAGGTTTCCATGTTCTTCTTTTGTGCATTTTGCCTAAAGAGTATATTTTCTTGCCGTTGAATTCTCACATTTTGGAGCGTGAAAAGGCTTCTCCAATGCATTGTTTTTGCTTTTACCAATTATGTGATGGATGTTGGTGAGGCATTGCTGGTAATGTCAGAGAAATTGCGAGTATGCTTAAATTTAGCAAGTGCTAGGACGAGGCGGATTTGAGTCTCTCCCTACTTTCCAGATTACATATAAACGGTGCTGCTAGCGGTACGCCGTTTAGTTAGCACTGCTTCGAAATGCATTGCTCACATCTCCGTAAAACAACATTTGACATGCTGATTGCTGAACCGGAAAAGTTCATATTACTGGAAAAAATCGCCATAAACTAATTTTCGAACCTTGACCTCTCACCGACTGTGCTGAATGGATGCCGTCCCTCTGTTTCAGAATGCCGAGGCTAGTTACGATTTTAGCAGTAACGACCCGTTTCCATATCCACGATACACCGACGACTGGTTTAACAGGTGAGTCCATCTCTCAGGTCACCGGCTAGCTTCTCTCAAGTAAAGGCAGGGGGCCCTCTAAGCCCTCTAAGCTAGTCCCGCGCATCGGTGAGCGACCCATAGACCTGTCAAATGCCTATACTGCTCAGCAGTTGTACTCAGGTACTTTGTGACCAGCAGTTGCTGATTTTGGTTTAGCAATTCACTCCTATGAATGACAACATATAGTTTTAAATTGGTGCGAAAATAAATTCAAATCTATTTTTCATTCATGCTTGACATCAGCTCTGTCACCCCGATTTCTCCAGCTCTAAGCCGGAAACACTCTTCCAGCAGTCTGGAAATCACATGCCAGAGCCTATTCAAACCCAAGCCTACTGCTCACGTTAATCACACGCATCTCCATTCTCCGTGCGAGCGACTGATGCAAGCGAGAGCTAATGTATTTGAATAGGCTCTGGCATGCGATTACTTGACTGCCGAAAGGGTCTGTTTCAGCCTTCACCGATGTGATAAGGCACTCACTCGGCCATCGATAGGCAGTCGTTGAAGCGGCTCCACGAATAGTCCCGCGTCACTGTCAGCCCACCTGGGTCTAACCCGCGCCCCACTGCGGTCTGTGTATAACACGCCCTACTGGGGGGGGGGGGGGGGCTATTCATAGCCCCCCCCCTCCTAACTCCGAAACTACTGGGCCGATCGTCAAAATTCAAACGGCGTCTGATAGCCCCGGAAAAACTGTCGAGCGAAACCTAATTTCATTGACCTCGAGGTCACCGATGACGTCACAGATCAGGTCAAAGTAAAAATTATTAGCATTTTGGCTTGTTCACATTTTGGGCTCTGGCCGCCGTCTTACAAGTCAGATCAGGCTCATTTTTGGTTTCCACACTTGTGAACAGATGCCCTAGATACCTTGAGGGTACCAAACTTGTACTTTGATTTTCAGGTCAGGGTCAGGTCATCACAGGTCACGGAAATATTATATCATGCGTCGGTCACGTGACACATGTTTTATGGTCCATTTAGGCCATAGATTTCTAATTTGATGTCTGTCGTCTGTGTCATTCGAGGTCATTTTGAGTCGAATTTAGCTTAGATCAGGTCACTTTCAGGTCAAAAAAGGTCAAATTTTAAAGTTAAAAATTTTCAACAAAAATGGTATCTATTGGATGCAGTTTGAGCTCAGGAACACGATGGTGCCATTTATATTGGTGTACGATGTCAAATACGTACTGAAAAATTGATTTGAAAAATTAATAATTGTGAATTTTTTGCAATAATGCGTATAGCTTGGCCATTTTTGAAGATATTTAGCTAAAACTTGCTAGAGTTAGTCATAATCATGCGTTCTGTCACATATATTGCGATTTTTTCGAAAAGTCAAAAACTTTTTGAAAAAAAATATACAAATATAAATTTTGAATATTATTATATAAAACTAGAGGGACAGCATTACGCGCAGCGTAAAGAGGGACAGCATTACGCGCAGCGTAATAAATCAAGTTTCAATAAAATCGGCCCAGTAGCGGCCGAGTTATGGCCAGAATAAATTTGGCGTCTCTTCCTGGCCGGCGGTGCCCTGTTCCGGTATTCATTGCCAAAGGTCAGTGACCTTCCGGCTCTGATTTCGCTCAGTTTGGCAAGCGAAGAAACTGAGGCTAATGCGCGTGCTCTCTGATCGGCGCCGGCCGCGGCCAAAATTCCGCAAAGATGCGCCCGCCACGTGCACACCGCTGCACGCACCCCCTCCAAAATTTAATACAACAAACAGATGCACGCGTCCGACTAAAGTCGAAAATTTCACCCCCGTAGCCCGCACCGTTCCGGAGCAATAGCCCGCCAAGCGTGACGGACGGGTTACGTACAGACGTTTTGATTTTTATATATGTGACTAGAGGGACAGCATTACGCGCAGCGTAAAGAGGGACAGCATTACGCGCAGCGTAATAAATCAAGTTTCAATAAAATCGGCCCAGTAGCGGCCGAGTTATTGCCAGAATAAATTTGGTGACTCCTTTGGCCGGCGGTGCCCTGTTCCGGTATTCATTGGCAAAGGTCAGTGACCTTCCGGCTCTGATTTCGCTCAGTTTTGAAAGCGAAGAAACTGAGCCTACGGCACGTGCTCTCTGCCCGGCGCCGGCCGCGGCCCAAAATCCCGCAAAGATGCGCCCGCCACGTGCACACTGCTGCACGCACCCCCTCGAAAAGTTGATACGACAAACAGATGCACGCGTCCGACTTATGTCCAAAATTTCACCCCCGTAGCCCGCACCGTTCCGGAGCAATAGCCCGCCAAGCGTGACTGACGCGTTACATACGTACAGACATTTTGATTTTTATATATGTAACTAGGTGCCGAGCATTACGCGCAGCGTAATGATTCAATTTTCATTAAAATCGGCCCAGTAGCGGCCGAGTTATTGCCAGAATAAATTTGGTGACTCCTCCTGGCCGGCGGTGCTCTGTTCCGGTATTCATTGCCAAAGGTCAGTGACCTTCCGGCTTTGATTTCCCTCATTTTCGCAGCGAAGAAACTGAGCCTAAGGCGCGTGCCGTCTGCTCGAAACCGGCCGCGGCCCAAAATCCCACAAAGATGCGCCCGCCACGTGCAAACCACCGAACCCATCCCCTCCAAAATTTAATACAACAAACAGATGCACGCGTCCGACTAAAGTCGAAAATTTCACCCCCGTAGCCCGCACCGTTCCGGAGCAGTAGCCCGCCAAGCGTGACTGACGCGTTACATACATACATACGTACAGACGTTTTGATTTTTATATAAGTGACTAGAGGGACAGCATAACGCGCAGCGTAATAAATCAATTTTCATTAAAATCGGCCCAGTAGCGGCCGAGTTATGGCCAGAATAAATTTGGCGTCTCCTCCTGGCCGGCGGTGCTCTGTTCCGGTATTCATTGCCAAAGGTCAACGACCTGCCGGCTCTGATTTCGCTCAGTCTTGCAAGCGAAGAAACTGAGCCTAAGGCGCGTGCCGTCTGCTCGGCGCCGGCCGCGGCCAAAATTCCGCAAAGATGCGCCCGCCACGTGCAAACCGGCGAGCGCACCCCCACCAAAATTTAATACAACAAACGGATGCACGCGTCCGACTTAAGTCCAAAATTTCACCCCCGTAGCCCGCACCGTTCCGGAGCAATAGCCCGCCAAGCGTGACTGACGCGTTACATACATACATACATACGTACAGACGTTTTGATTTTTATATATGTGACTAGAGGGACAGCATTACGCGCAGCGTAAAGAGGGACAGCATTACGCGCAGCGTAATAAATCAAGTTTCAATAAAATCGGCCCAGTAGCGGCCGAGTTATGGCCAGAATAAATTTGGCGTCTCCTCCTGGCCGGCGGTGCTCTGTTCCGGTATTCATTGCCAAAGGTCAGTGACCTGCCGGCTCTGATTTCGCTCATTTTCGCAGCGAAGAAACTGAGCCTAAGGCGCGTGCCGTCTGCTCGAAACCGGCCGCGGCCCAAAATGCTGCAAAGATGCGCCCGCCACGTGCAAACCATCAAACCCACCCCCACCAAAATTTAATACAACAAACAGATGCACGCGTCCGACTTAAGTCCAAAATTTCACCCCCGTAGCCCGCACCGTTCCGGAGCAATAGCCCGCCAAGCGTGACTGACGCGTTACATACATACATACATACGGACATTTTGATTTTTATATATGTAAATTTTCGAAATTTTCAAAATTTTGAAAATTCGAGATGGCAGTTTGATAGCGCGGTCAATTCTGAGTCCTTTCATGCAAAGAGATTGGATCTAGCTTAAAAACTGAGCTCTTGGGAGCGAGTGCCGTGGTTCAATGTTTTGCGTCGAAATCGGACGAACATGACGTCACTCTGACGTCATTTCCGGCCGACCTATGGTAGCTACGAAGTTCAAATTTTGACACAAGGTGTCAAATTGATGCAGCCGAAGGTACTGAAAGTTTGGCGTCGATCCGTCAAGCGGTTTGGAAGTTATTGCAGAAAAACGGGAGGGGGGCTATAAATAGCCCCCCCCCAGTGGGGCGCGGGCTAATTTTGTAACCATAGAAACAGAGGCTGCTGGTTGTTTGATGTCGCAAGGCATGCTCCTATCGATCTGCTGGTGTCATTTGTAAACATCGATATTGATATTGAATTATTTATGTACAGTGACTTTGTCTTTATGGCTTGAAAAAGATTTATATCGAAACACATGTGTATTGTGTAGCCAACTTAAAGTAATACATATAACCCAAGAACATTCCCATTGTTTTCCAATTATAATTAAAACATTGGATCGCTCCATACAGATGATATCAGAGCTCCAGCCTACTTCAAACCTGGATTATAATTGATATGCACGTGTTAAAAAATCTACATGTAAGCTTAACGAATTTCTCATTTACTAAAGCTCACTGCTTCAGTCATTCTCTCGCAAAATTTCCAGATTTGGCTTAGTTTTCGAAAATTCTTATATCATCTGTTGAAGTAGCACATTGGCGAATAATTAACGAGTTTGAGGTGCTCAAGACTGTCAAAAGCACTCGTTAATATAAAAAGTATACGCTAGACAGCGATTCTTACTCTAATGGATTTTTACTTATTGCAACATATACTGATAAAGCTCTGTTTACAAGGCAAAACCAGGCATGATCGTTCGTTTGCTTGTCGATCAAAAGTAATCACATGAGTAAAAAAGAAACACATTTTCCTGGACTCCGCGGAACTGATGGTGGAAACATGTGATATATGTCATCTTGCACTGCTGCTCGTTGTCAGTGCTTAATTGTTCTCGCGAGCTAGCTGTTTGTTCAAGAAGGATTCGTCCACTTCAGTACATAGTGAACGTTTTATAAAAACATCATTGCTTTTATTCTAATCATTGACTCCCTTACAAACACACTCCTTTTATATCCTAAAACAATGCGTTCAAAGCTGTAACTCGGCCCTCAATCTGTTGGCAATGGGCCCCCGAGATACCATTTTCAAATATAGCGCAAGAAATTGGAAACGGCGCCCGTTCCTTGGCATAAACCCGCACGAAACGAATGCTTTATTATCCTCGAAAACATATCAATAATCAAAAGCAATTTCAACAATTGCTATGTTTGCGAGCAGTTAATTCCATCAATGAAAGCAATCTAGGTTTTGCAGTAGTTTGACCTAAAGTCAATCCTATTAGAGTTTAAAAACATGTTGGATTATTTGTTACCTTTTACAGCACGAAGTAAATCACTACCAACCATTGTGTTCAAAAGCCCTGGAGAGAAAATAAGATAAGAAACAAACATGATACGAATATTGCAAAGGGCAGCTCAAAGTATGATGAATGAGCACTGAAAAGTTTTTGATGTGTTTGCACTACTGCTAATGAACAAAACTGAGAAGGATACCTTGTGCTGTTCGTTTGTAATTATCTTATGTAACTGACCGAAACAGTTCGCATAGCTTGCACTTCAACCCTCATGGCTGTATGCCGCCTCGCCTACCTGAGTAGGATCTCGTATCTCGTATTCGAATACTTCATTACATCAAAGTGCGTATTGGTGATATTTCATAGAAAGGCTTAGCGGTGCGGTCCACGTTTAAGATTTTATTTTAGATTCATTTGAAATTTATTTAAGATTTAGGAGACACACGTTATAGCTATCAGCTCAATCCTAGCCGCAACATTTCATACTAAAGTACCCTGTCATCTGGCGACGTAGGCGCTGCGTCGGGGTCACCGACATCATATATTTCTGCGAGCTGTGCGTCAACAATGCACTAAATATGGTGGCTGGAGTGCCGATAGCGCCGTGGAGCGCGGGCTCTGCCTATAGCTGGACTATAAATCATCCCTCGCCAGGCAGCTGGCAACACCGCGACAGCCTCCCCTGGGCGTAACACATCACCTCGATTACCCCCTCTCTTTCCCGGTATGCCCCCCCCCCCCCCCCACACTGTTCTGGCTGCCGCCTATTGTCACGATTTATACCACATTTTGCTTTGGTATAAAGCGCAATGGTGCTTTTTATGACGGAAAGTTCTTTCCTAAACCCAAATAATGGCGATCGTTTGGTGTTTTATGATGTCCAATCTCCTTTCAGTTCACGGGATTATACTGCCCCGTTCTCCAGCGATTTCCCTCGTGGCTTGAGCCGGACGTTAACCGGCAGGCAGCTGGGGTCACCAAGCTCAAGAGGCATCTGGTCCTGATTCCATGACCTCTCGTGACTCATCATCAGCCTTATTTTCGAGGCAGCGACTGAGCAAACCGAAGCAGCCGCAAGCTCAATTCAAACACCTAATTCTACACCATACGCTCCTTATTTCAGCGCGCAATATTTCAGCTGGTATTTCAACACCGCTTAAGCCTGTTTTCCAGCCATAGCTGAAACTATCCATACGCTTATGTTCACACAGGTAATAGGTATGGTGCAATGTCCATAACATACGATATGCATGATATCCATTTCGATCTTTGCTTGCATAAGGCCTCATTCGTGAGCCAGATCATTAGCCGTGCCAACCTGTACGTGTGCCTACGTAACATTCCCGCATACACCATATATCACGAGTGTTCATAGTATCACGCTCGTAGCCACATGTGTGGAAAATTCCTCAGAAAGTGTGAGAATTATCTGTGCGACAAGGACGCCAGCACAGTTTTGTGTGTTACGTTGCTTTTAGCACGACTTTTACTAAAAGTAATTTATAAGTTAATACTTTTTTTGCTCATAACATAAGATGAAGTTAAAACGTCAATACAATATTTACCATGTTGGTTGTTTTTTGGCAAAAGCCTTGTTTTTCTTCAATGATATAGTTAGCCTTTGATTCCTAGAGTAGAAACGATCCGTCGCTCCTCCATTATTCACGTGCAGCCGAATTATTACTGAGGCGCACGGCTAAGCCTCTTGTGCATGTCTTGACTTTGCTCAACAATATCACGACAGATGAATGTGATGACATTGAATCACCTAACCGCTGCTCCATGTTTGTTTTTCTCGTAGCCACGGGACCCGGTGTGCCGGCGAGGTGTCGGCCGCACGTGACAACGGGGTCTGCGGAGTCGGTATCGCCTATAACTCTCGGGTGGCAGGTCAGTAATTAGTTACCAATCGGGTCCAACTGCGTTTTCAGCCGTTGACAGAACGCGGCGCGGTCCCCACCCTACCCTCAGTGCAGCCAGTGACGAACTTCAGCCAAACGGCGATCCTGCCCCACCCTATCTCAAGCAGTCAGTCTGCCACCAATCTCAGCCGGACCATGGCCACGCGGTCACCGTCAGACCGCGTTCCGCCCCAGTCCTCGCTCTACCCTACACCAATCTCAGCCGAGCCGCGGCCCCGGTCACTGCCCTACCCTCACCAGTCGGCTACCAATCTCAGCCATACCGCGGTCCTATCCCCGCCCAAACCCTATACCTAAATTTTCTCAGTCACCCGAGGTCCGGTCACCGCCCTACTCTCAGGTCCAGGTCCTCAATATTCAGCCACCAGCCAGGGACATCGGTCGTGGTCCGCAGAATTCCGTCTTTAGCCGGGGATGTCGGTCTACGTCCCCAGTATTCAGCCGCTAGCCAGGGACGTCGGTCCCCAGCATTCAGCCTACGTCACCGGTGCACCGTACCGTGAAATTAACCAGCCAGCTCGCCCTCCCTGCCAGCAGGGCTTAGTTTAGAGCCAGTCGCATGCCATTTCAGATAACCAGCTCAACTGACACGGAGTAAAACAATGCTAGGTGTAACTCTTGAGGTTTATTTATCGCTTTCCTTGAAAGGAAAAATATATGCTTGACAGCCCTTAGCTATGTAATGGTAGTAGATTTTGCACTGATCAGTGAAAATAAAAAGCGATATGCAGGTGAATATACGTACTAACTAGGCTATACTTATTGATGAAAGTTTTTTTTTTAAAGTTGTCCTCTGGCGTCTTTTCTAAGGCAAATCTCATCCAGTAAGCAACTCTAGTAAATCGCCTCTCATATGTGCCTGACGTCTGTGTATGCCCGGACGTGTGTTCGCAGGAATCCGTATGCTGGACCAGCCGTATATGACGGATCTGATCGAGGCCAACAGTATGGGTCACGAGCCGAACCTGATCGACATCTACTCGGCATCTTGGGGCCCGACTGACGACGGCGAAACGGTGGACGGTCCGCGTAACGCCACCATGCGCGCCATCGTCCGCGGCGTGAACGAGGTGAGACAGGGGCGGAATGGGAGCGTCAGCGGGGTGAGATAGGGCCGTCAGCGGGGTGAGACAGGGGTGTAAATGAAGTGAGAGAGGAGCGTCAACGAGGTGAGACAGGAGCGCCAAAACTGGGATGTGAGAGGGACGTCAACGGGGTGTGAATGGGGTGTCAATGGGGTGAGACAGAGCGTCACAGGGATGGGGATTGCTTGTCAACGGGACGGGGAGGGCGCACGGGCGGAACGGGACAACAGCCGACGGGTTCACATTCCTTCAAGGAGAAGCGGTGAGACAGACCATAGACAGCCAGTCTCTAAATAAAAATGAATCAGTGCCATACTCCTCGTTCAATGTTCGTCAGTAGTCGAAAACATTTTCAATAGAGAGCTGAATTGCCTGATGAAGCAAATTGGCGCTCATCGCTCAATGCCATCCAAATCGATTCCTGTTTCATGCTCAGCATTACCTGGCTGCAATCCATCACTATCTCTCCTAACAGTCCACCAGGGCACCTGGATTCTCCGGGCATGAACCGACGCTGATATTATGCATAGCATCCACGCTCCGGCGGCGACTGGGGCCCCTCGGGACGGTCTGCCCAGCAACAGGAAATTGGTGACCCGTGTGACCTGAGTGTCATCACCAGCGGGCGACCCCGGAGTGCCAGCAGACCCTCTGAACTGGGGCGCCACAGGGGGAGGTGCCGGGGCTCACAGGATGGCTTCGTGATATGAACAACTACGTTAATATGGTTGGAACATAGCTGACAAGAACCTTGTTTGTTATAGCAACATACAGGCATGGCGACAGCGGCTATAGCGTGCATTGATAATTGCGCGACAATGTACGCTAATGGCTCGTAGAGGAAATAGCGGATATTAAAACAATTAATTAACAGCAAACATCGGCTGTGCCAATTGGTAGCTGCACGGTATTCACCGTGAAAATTTGATTTATCCGTAGTTACAGTTGATTTTTTTTTCAATATGAGCCCTCAGATTGCGCAAACCTTCTGAGCCTTTATAACCTATACTGAACCTTGATGGATCTCACTAAACCTCAGTGATCCTCTGCGACTCTCATTGAGTCTCCGTGATCCTCAATGAATCTCATTGAACCTCACTAAACCTCTGTGACCCCACTGAGCCTCTGGGAACCTAACTGGGCCTCTGCTCGCTGCTGAACCTTTATGAACCTCTGAGATCCTCTCTTAACTATTTCCGAACCCTTGCGAACCTCACTGAACCTCTGCAACCCTCCCTATCCAGCAGCGGCGGAACACCTTCAATTAAGGGGGGGGGGGTGGGCATAACCGATTTTTGGTCCCATTCTTTCCATGCCGATTTTTGGCCCATAGGGCTAGTGTTAAGATGCCAAAATCAAAGGGGGGCACGGTGCCCCGGTGCCCTCCCCGTTACGCCGCCTATGTCTCTATCCTGTGCCGCAGGGCCGCCACGGTCTGGGCAACATCTACGTCTGGGCGTCCGGGGACGGCGGCGAGGACGATGACTGCAACTGCGACGGCTACGCGGCCAGCATGTGGACCATTTCCATCAACTCGGCCATCAACGACGGCGAGAACGCCCACTACGACGAGAGCTGCTCGTCCACCATCGCGTCCACCTTCTCCAACGGCGCCAAGGACCCCACCACGGGCGTGGTAAGTGTCGATGGGCATACAAAGAACACAACCAGTCGCCAGATAGTAGCTTCGCTTCGGGGGTTTACCGCCACCCTAGCATTCGTCAGTGCACCAGCACCTACAGCGACTTACATGCAAACCTATAGTAATATTTTTCCACTCGCTTGGTATGCCCCATGACGATGTTATCTATGTCTATGCACATCGTACATGTATAGTGTATTGAATGATAAACGCTTTGCAGTGATTGTAAAAAGACCCAGCCAACCGGTTCTTTCTCCTTTAGTCAGACCAGCTATCTCATTGGGGCCTTCCAATGCCCTGTACTGGCATTCTTATCAGCACTGAGGACCATTCGTTTCTTAGCCAGAGCAAAACTATTCACCTGAGTGGACTGACCGTCTGACCCCTCCACAGACCCAAGCTGACCTTCGCCAGACTGCTGCTGATTTGACCCTGTCTGACCTGACCTTGTGTACCCCCAGGCCACAATTGACCTGACATTGTATACTCCCAGGCTCCCACTGACTTGACCCCGTCTGCCCCCAGGCCACCACTGACCTGTACGGCCAATGCACCAAGACCCACTCTGGCACGTCTGCCGCTGCGCCTGAGGCCGCTGGCGTCTTCGCGCTGGCTCTGGAGGCTAAGTGAGTTGAATTCAGCCGTCTCCGTGACCGAATGATGCCCAGCGTTGAATTCTGTTGGGAGGGGTGTGGGGCTGGGATTAACCGTGAGCGGGTATTTATATTCAAAGCAGGTGTCGAGTTTTCATCGGTTATGTAAGGAAACCGCAGATCGTACTCGTCAGAAGTCTCGTTGATCGGACGCCGGTACGATTCATGAGCCTTGCTTCTCAACATCGGAAGCCCCATGCTCTGGCCTCTGCCACTGTTCTACATTTTTTTTTTTAGTCTCGGGCTGCTTAAAACATTTAAAAAACTTCTTTTCACTATTCCACATTGATTGCCGATCTAAAAACTAAGAAGGTATCAAAACATATAGCACATCCTTTAATGATGCTCAGATGCTCAACATAAGACACAAAATTGTGAGATTTGATAGTGTACGCATAGTACAACGAGCGTAGCCAATTTCATCATTATTTTCTGCATTTCGTCTTTAATGATGTTTTTGCATTGCAGCGCACTACTGCCAACACGCAGCATATTTCCAGAAAAAGTATTTTCCTTGAAAGCCGTGTAACGTGAGATATGATCCAATCATTTCCAAAGTGGTAACAGAATGGCTCTCTTGAGGCATCTCTATGCCACTCCTCTGCTGGTATATTATAGATTAATGATGTCAATTACAGAAAATCGGAATACCGATACCAAACCAAATACCAAGCAAACCGTGAGGATATACCGAAACCAAGCCAACTTTGGAGAATGAGGAAAATACCAACTTTTTACCAATTTATCAGCCTCTTTTGCATTAGTGGGTTTTTTTAATACCAACAAAATACCAAACATATTAGGATTGAAATACCAAATACCAAGTTGGTATTGGTTTGGTATCGGTATACCAAAAAGTTGGTATCCAATTGACATCTCTATTCTAGATATATAAAGGAACTGACGAGAAGAGCCGACTGGTGAAATGATTGCGGGATGCATTTCCTTCACAGCAGTGGCTTTCGTCATGCCGTCAGCATGCTGTCTTGTGATGAATAAATAACGCATGTAATGCTCAGAACTATACTACTTTTGGTCAAAAAGCTGGCTAGAAATTAGAAACAGGGCTGACCGACGAAGACAGATTGCGCTACGCAAAAAATCCAACTCGTTCCAAATAGTTTGGTCATCTATTTTTGAAGCCTGACTTCGTCTTCTAGCTCAGTTGGTAGAGCGTTGAACTCCCGGCAGTGAGAGACTGGGTTCGAGTCACCATGGCGCGCAATACATGAGCTTCCTGAGAGGGGTTGTCTGGCGGAGGAAGCCGCAACCAGTTGAATTAGTTGAGTGGGACAGAGAGGCCGCGTGGATACCCTAAATCAATACCTTTTCACCCCCCCCCCCCAATGGATATGGATCCGACTTTGGCACTTCCTCTGTTAAAACAAGCCACTTTGAGCACACTGCCTTGCATCTATAACAAACAAAATTAAATAGGCTGTGTTAACAGGTCGCCTTGGCAGATAAAGATGGCTAGGTATGGCCTAATTTTCACAAGGTTATCAAGGCAACTTAATTTTCCTCGCCGACTGCCGAGTATGCTTGTAAGAATCTCCATACCATCAGCTCTGCTGTTGTATATTGCAAGCAATTCAGTAAGACAGCTGGGCGTCTCGAATTTGCATTTCAATTTCGGGCCTAATCAGATTAAGTCGCACTGCGTGTACACACATAGTCCCGTTGCTACGCCCGCCATCTCCTGAGAGAGTAACCAAGCATGACGAGTGTTTTCCTCGCGCTGATGCCGTGTTGTCTGAGACGACACCGCCACACGCTAACGGCAACATCCAATAATGGATTAGTATGGTACCCGGACGTCCCCTGCCGGCTGCCGCTTATTCGGCGTGGCTGCTATCAAGGGACCTTGAGACTAAGAATCAAGCCTGGTTAGTCTATTGATGAGAACCAGTTCGTAATGGTGCGAGCCTTGAGATGGAAGCAAAACAAGTCAAAAGAAGCTTTACACAAACTACATATTAGCCGTTTTCACGACGGGCTATCCGGCGAATGCACCTGATTTGACCAAATCTGCACCTAATTTAGTTTACAGCAAATATCTTCATTTCATTAGGCATTTATTTCAGTGTTTTAAACGATGATGCTCTCTGATAATATGACAAAGCAGGCATATAAGCAATTAGTGCAACCCTAGCTGATAGCTGCTAAGAGACACACTGAACCTGATTTGACCAAATCTGCACCTAATCTGTACCAGATGTGCACCAAATGTGTACCAGATGGCCGTCGTGAAAACAGCTATTTTGCATACAAATACACATCGTGAAGAGAGGCATATTTCTTTTAGGCAATACTTTTGGTAGTCCATGCTAAATGGAGACACCGGAAACTCTGAAAATTCCCTACTCGAGCACCACAGGATAGCATTCTAAAAATACTATCACCGATGGCAGTGCAGCTGACATTGATTCTACTACCCACCTTCTAAAACCTGACCTTGGTTCCAGCACAACCAAAGATCAATGAAAATCGACGGTCTAAAACAGCCGCCATACACACCAATCTTTTATGGGAGACAGCTCTGCAATCGATAGCTCAAGTTCACGCTGTTCCTATCGGCCCCTTCGCTGTGACACCTAAGGCTCCGGACAGTTACCCCGCCTCATTTCTTCACCGCCTCTTCCGGGCATGTTTCGCCCAGATCACGGATACACAACTCTTACGACACTAGTGCGGCCTCGGTCGGCCCCGGAACTGATGGCAATATGGCCGACGGGACCGGCTGGTTTCCCAGCGGTAGTGGCGGTTTTCCGGGACGATCAATGTCACTTTGCGCGGGAAGGTAGAGTGAGTAAGCGAGGGAGAGGAGGGGCGAGGGAAAGAGAGACGAGAAAGAAAGCAAGAAAAAAGAACGAAGAAGAGAGAAAGAGGGAGAGAAAGAAGAAAGTAAGAGAGAGAGAGAGAGAGAGAGAGAGAGAGAGAGATGAGAGAGATGGGAGAGAGATGAGGGAGAGGGAGAGAGGAGAGAGAGAGAGAGAGAGAGAGAGAGAGAAGAAAGAGAAGTGAGCAGAGAGAGAGAAGTGTGAGAAAGAGAGAAGTGGGGGAGAGAGAAAAGTGGGGGAGAGAGAGAAGTGGGAGAGAGAGAGAGAGAGAGAGAGAGAGAGAGAGAGAGAGAGAGAGAGAGAGAGAGAGAGAGCAGCTCCTCCCCGTCTCCTATTGCGCCATTGACCACCCGGTAGGCTTCACAAACACTCTCGTCTCCCAGCCCTCGGTCTGACCACGCTCCAGGCGAGCCGAGGGCTCCGGGAAATATACAGAGCAAATAGTACGGCCGAGCTCTGATCTGATGCCGCCTGGCTTATCGCGTCCACTGCCCAGTGCTCGGTGGTCACGCCATATGGCGGATATGGATGATGAGCGTAAGCAGAGGGAGGTGAGGGAGCTCTCTTCATAGCTGTGTCGAGACACATGCATTTCATTGCTGCCGTCTCCTTCTCAATACCAAACGAGGGATATTGGATAAGTAACCCTAAGCTGTTTTATTGAATATTACATATTGATCGTCATGGAAAGTAACTAAGAATAAAAAAACGATTTATGCAGTGTTTCCGTGTTTAATTTTAGTCCCACCGTCTAAATAAGACTAACGCTGACCCAGTCCGTCCAACAGCCCGCGTCTGACAGCGATGTCACCCATTTCCTCCCTCTAACAGCCTGCGGCTGACGTCACCCATTTCTTCCTTCCGACAGCCCGCGCCTGACCTGGCGCGACGTGCAGCACCTGACGGTGCTGACCTCCAAGCGAAACTCACTCTACGACCACAAGAAGCGCTACTTCTGGCACATGAACGGCGTCGGCCTCGAGTACAACCACTTGTTCGGCTTCGGCGTGATGGACGCCGGAGCGATGGTGGCACTGGCCCGACGCTGGCAGGAGGTTCCCGCCCGCTACCACTGCCAGGCCGGCAGCGTCATCCGCGACAGGTCAGTGGGACTCTCCCTTCCTTCGTCCCATTCTTCCTTCTTCTCCTCCCGCTTCGTCCCATCCTCTTTCCCTCCTACGTTTCATTCTCCCTCACCGAGGAATGTCGTCCAGGCCACAATGAAAAACTTCAGGGAAGGCAAGAGAGTGATATCCTGTACGGTAATACGCGATCAGGCAGAACGGCGCCGACTCTGGTCTCCAAGGGACTGCTGAGCTCCGCGCTATTGTCCGGCTTATGGCTGTCATTTCCGGCTCTCAGGAAATGCCGTACGCTGCGGGTGTTGATGTGTGCTCCATGTCTACGCCAGCGCTCAGCGACTGGGGATCCCTGGGGACAGGGAGGGGTGGGGAGGGGGGGGGGGTGGCAGACATGATTGCCGCCGCTGCGAGCGGGCGTGTCTGCCGACCTCCCACTCGTCTGCGGCGGACACGCCGCGGGGCCGGCCACGGACGCTCTGATTGGTTGGTCCGATTGGCTACCGGTGGTCCGGCCTCTCCTCTGATTGGTTACCAGCAGACGGGCTGTGAACGCTCCCCCCCCCCCCCCCTGCTTCGGTCAGCCGCGGGGGAGTGGTTGGCGTGGGCGTTCAATTGCCCACCAGTTTACTCGCAGTCTGACCTCCGCTCACCTTCGCGGTTGATAACGAGACGCCCTTTTCCGTCCGCCGCGTTACGCCACGTGCCGGGTGTTCCCGTCTCACTGTCTTGGTGTGCCTTCCTCCCACTCAAATACCTCATTCCTCAGCCTGCTCGCATATGTCTCGACTCTCCTCCCATTCTGCCGCATTTGCCGTCTTTTCTTTCCTTGCCATTACTTTTTGCTTCTCTCTCTCTCTCTCTCTCTCTCTCTCTCTCTCTCTCTCTCTCTCTCTCTCTCTCTCGCTCTCTCTCTCTCTCTCTCTCTATCTATCTCTCTTTCTCTATCTCTCTCTCCTCTTTCTCTCTCATTTAAGTACCTGTCTCCATCTCACTCACTGTCCTCATCTTGTTAACACTGATGCCTTTACCTAATATCGGGAATCGGGATGCCCATGCCCATGTTTTGGGTGGTCTTTGATTCCTTTCTTGTCTGATTCAATGGAGGGTTGGCATCGAAGGACAGTTAGGAAACGTCAGCAATTATAGGAGCACCGATGTAATTTGCATTTGCATTGTAACCATATTGCATCGAATTGAAAACATGAAGCCCGAATGCGCTCAACGCGGATGGCAAGGATCAAGCTTCTCGCCCCTGTGCATAGATGGCAGCACCGTCAACGCCTGCAAATATACTGTGCCGCAAGGCGGTGCCAAGCGCTGGTCTTGGCGGTAGGTGGCAAAGATGAAGCTTCGAACTCCTGCACATAGGTGGCAGCAGCGTCAGCGCCTGCAGCTATACTGTGCCGCAATACAGCACTGTTCGTGGAAGTCGGCCGACGACCGTAGCGCCTCACTTTTGACTTTTGAGACGCTTTATCAATAGCAAATTCTCGGTAGCAACTGGACCGATTCAGTTGTGTTCTTTTTTTGGTATACCGGTTGTGAGGGGTTTAAGGTAAATGCTATAACAAATAATGAATGAAAGAGTATATGCGTTGTGTGTTGTGTTGGAGTATGTCGCTACATTGAAGTGCCTAGTGTCAGTCTATGACAGCTCACCAGTCGTGACACTGTCAATACCCTGAACCAGTCACGGCTATCCGTGTTTTACACATCACCAGCCACAGCCCACTGACCGCCCGTCCCGTCTGTTCCGGCAGCCCGATCCCCCAGAACGGCACCCTGCGCTGGAACATCACCACCACCGGGTGTCGGGGCTCCGACACCGAGGTCAACTACCTGGAGCACGTGCAGGCCGTCATCACCATAAACAGCACGCGCCGCGGCGACGTCGAGCTCTTCCTGACCTCGCCCATGGGCACCAGGTCAGTGATGGGGGGTTCGGGGGGAGGGGGCAGGGTCAAGCTCCTGACCTCCCCAGGTCAGTGACAGGGACTCTGGTCAGACTGAGTAACAGTGATGTGCTGTTCAGAGCGGGGAGTCACGACGTTGCAGACTCGTCCAGAGAAAGTACTATATACCGACGTACTATTAATGCCATTAATAGTACATCGGTATTGATGACAAATACTGAAGTGAATTTCTTGCAAAAAAAAAAAAAAATACTGAGACTGACAAGTATGCACTAGCAGTCGCCGTGAATGCTTACTTTTAGTCGGCTGTGAATACTTAATTTAGTCGGCCATGCCAGTAAAGTTAGTAGATTAGTGACCAATCAGCTGGCTAGATCAGTGCCAGACTTGCCATTGATGTCAGTGTCAGTTTTAGTGTCAGTGAAGGTGCCCCGTTCCAAATGTCAGTTCGGGCACGCCCCTCTGGTCTGAGTATCCCCGTGAAATGTCATCCCTTTGACCCGAGTTGTCCCTTCGTGTCAGGTCGATGATCCTTAGCCGGCGACCCAACGACCGTGACGACCGAGACGGCTTCACCAAGTGGCCCTTCATGACGACGCACACGTGGGCAGAGAACCCGTCCGGCACCTGGGTCCTAGAGGTCAGTAGGGGCGTCGTCAGCGCGTGAACCTGCCATAACCGCAGGTTACAACACAGATCAGTGCCTTGGTGTATCAATTACCTACAACACATCCATCGTGTTACTTGCACTAGTCAATTAGTCATGCTTCAATCAGTTCGTCAATGTTAAAAAGCAACGTGTCAGATCGCCAGTCTGCCCATATCACTTATGTTTAAAAGCTTATGAGGTAGGCTTATGTAAGGTCAGCAGGTGTTTTTTTCTGTCTTTTTTTAATTTCGATGTTCACTTCTCATTTATCTGTTTGCATAGGTGTTTCTAGCTTTGTCTTGGAAAGTTAAAACCTCATTTGAAATCCATTTATGAGGCTGTTGCGCCTCATCCAGGCCTGGATTATGTTATCCCGTAGCGCCTAGCAGGCTAGCAGTATTTTCGGGACATTGCGAAGTGCGAACACTCTCCGAGACTGCCTGTTTTCGCCGAAGTTAGCACTCCCTGGAGCAGATAAGGCTGATATATTCTCTCGGATAGTTTTGGAGTAATTGGGTGCTCACCACTTCCACACTTCCACTCGACTAGGCTGGCAGTCCCTGGAGGGAGGTGTGCGATGCTGCCACGGGAAAATCGCACGCAATGAAAACTATCAAAATTAAATACGTTTGCCGTCTTTTGGCGGCGTTTTTAACGCTTGCTAATCGCTCCTATTAGCTAAGGTGATCCATTCTTACACCTGCCTCTCTAGAAACTTTCTGGGCGCCGTTGATTTCTGACGTTTCGCTCCGCTCTGCTTCACAGGCGCAATTCAACAGCAAGACGCCTCAGGAGGGTTTCATCCGCGAGTGGACGCTGATGCTGCACGGCACCCGTCTGCCTCCGTACAGCTCGCTACCCGTCACCGACCCGCACTCAAAGCTGGCCGTCGTCAAGAAGGTGCACGAGTCGGCCAAATCGAGCATCTAGGGGCGACGGGCTCGCTCCGTCCCGGCCGGGCGCGGAGTGTCCCACTGCGGAGGCAGCGGCGGATCCCTACGAGTCATCCAGGGGGCGCCGACCGTCCCCGACAGCGCCACAGAGCTGACGAGTCAGAGCCGAGTCAGAGCCGAGTCAGGGCGGAGTCAGGGCGACTCTGAGTTCCGAATTTAACTACAGTTAACGCGGAGGAGGGCATTTCGCCCTTAAAAAGCTAAATTATGAGGATTGCGCTGGAGGGCGAACCGAGCATGACAAGTGATCGTTTCTGCGATGGTTTCTGCCTGGAAAAGTTAGCCGGCCTCTCCGGGATGCTGCGCTGTTTGTCTCGTGTTCAGTGCTGGAGCCGGCTGGCCGGTCACCAATGAAAGCCCTGTGAATGGCAGCTCCTCACATGACATTGTATATATGAGATGTTACATATACTAGGCGCGATAGAACCCAGATATATTTTTGTGGATGTTACTCCACCGGTACATATCGTGTGGTCAATTGCCAACGGGTGACGGTCGGATTAGTTGTTATTTTCTTATAAAAAGCGAATAATGCCATTATATTGCCCAGGGGCGGGTTTTACAATTGATTCTACAGCAGTAAGGCTTTCAATTAATGCGTCTTGAATGTTTTTTTTTCTTTTTTAGTTTGGTAGTTGGTAGTTTAGTGGTTCAAAGCACGCCAGCAGTATAAACCGTCTGAGTAGCGATATATTATCATTGTTAAAACTAAGTCGTATCTGGCTGTTGGAAATGGGGTTTCAGATGAATATGAATATAATATTGGACAATAGATGGTCAGTCATGTGACCACTTTTATGATCTCAGCCAATGCATCTGTATTTTTCGTGACTGCCAACGAAATGGGGCAGCAATCGTTTTGAGCATTCAGTTTTAACGTTCTAAGTAAGACGTTTATGTCAGCAACATCGTTAACTGGCTTTGTCTTTTGATAAGGAGGCCCAGAACTAATTACTTCAGTCAACCATCAATAGAGCTGGGCTGTCCATCTCCCGGCACCAAATGACTGAATAAATGCTCGCGGTCTGAGGTGAGTCCACTGATACCCTACACACAGAACCGAAACCACCATGAAACCTATCGAGACTCCCCAGCCAACTGTGCATACAACCTGTGAAGCTAACCAGTACAGGACCAGCACCAGTCAATTGCTTCGGGCCGGCTTGGCCGTGAGAAGACTTCACTTCCTGCCAGCCGGATCACTGGAGATCAACGCTGCACACAACAATGCCTGTGTCATTTCTCCTGCGACGGCGAAAGTCTAGTCCTACCGCGGCCCAAGTCGCCCTTCTGCGGCCTACGGCCGCCCAAGTCGCCCCTCTGCGGTCCACAACGGCCCAGGTCACTCTTCACCGTGGCCGGGCGGCCCGAGGCGCCCCTTGTCGCGGCTCGGCTGGGAGACCCAAGGCGGCTTGGCTTTTTCCGTGGCTTTGAGGCCACCAGATCATGCGAGTGTCTTCAGTTATAACCCCCTCGTTATATAGATATAGACATATATAAACACATATTTATGAAGCGCAGTGTGCGCTGCTGGAAGGCGAACCTCTGCCGGGGTCCTGAATTGGTGTCTATGTCGTTGATGACGTTACATTGTAGCATCCGTGAGTCCTCGCCGGTTCAGTTTTCAATAAAATATGGGAAAAACTTACCGTAACCGTAAGCCAATCATCTGCATTGGAGCCTAATTTTATCCAAGGCCCTGCGACCAACAACATTTTGTGAAGGAGAAAATATAATATCAGTTCGTGGTACCTGATTGTTTTTATTCTTCGAAGAAAAATCGATCATGGAAAGAAGCATGGAACTCCAAAGGAAATGCCTACGACTAATACAGATGCTATGCAGTACCATAAACAATAAACATGTTTTACGAGTACGTCCACCACACAGGACTGACCACTTTTTAGATAAGTGATTGATTGTTGACGCTAAGGCATTGTACTCTGGTATTACAAACGGCGTCCGTGAATGTGTAAAAGTGATAGGTAGAACATACCGCATCTATTTTGTATGAGTCCTTTGGTCACAAACAAATGCAAAAGGGCGACTCAGATACAATAGTTTTGGGAAAAGCTCAACGCTGATTTGACTGAGGGCGCTCCCGTGACTTCTGGTGTCTGTTTTCTCTACGGAACATGCCGGTTCGATAGAGAGAGAGAGAGAGAGAGAGAGAGAGAGAGAGAGAGAGAGAGAGAGAGAGAGAGAGAGAGAGAGAGAGAGAGAGAGAGAGAGAGAGAGAGAGAGAGAGAGAGAGAGAGAGAGAAAGAGAGAGAGAGAGAGCGAGAGAGCGAGAGAGCGAGAGAGCGAGAGCGAGAGAGAGAGCGAGAGCGAGAGCGAGAGCGAGAGCGAGAGCGAGAGAGAGAGAGAGAGAGAGAGAGAGAGAGAGAGAGAGAGGAAAAAGAGAAAGGAAGACAGGTATAGTTACTTGTTGCAGCAGCACCCCACGCTAGTCCTAAAACTCGAATAACTCACCGCTCACACACCGACTCAACTTGTCCGATACAGTGGCAGCCAGTGTCCACCGACTTCAGGCTCTCCTTGTAAGATGCGACTGCTCGTGATGAACAACGCGGCGCAAGTTCGCAATCCGTAATCCGTATGGCGGTATAGTTTATTTTGGAATAACGAAGCATGTATGGATATTTCATATATCAAACCTTCGTCTTGCTGTTTGGAATTGCAGACCTTGTCCGCCTGTATCCCATGCCGTTTACCGCTTGTCGCTAGCTTGCTTCGTTTTCGAGATCTTAGGGTAGGGGCAGTATCGCCCCCCCGCAGGTGCGAAGTTGGTTCGGGCCCCGCAGGTACTCGGATTAACCCTCGCCCATGTAGGGGGGGGGGGGTTGGTGCAACCCCCCCCCCTGAGGTTTTTCGGAAATAGTGCAAAAACGGCGGCGCGCAGCGCCGCCAAATTTTAGGTACCTTATGGGGCAAACCTTGCGCATCTTTTGATAAAAAAAAATTTGACCGGGTCATGTCAGGTCACGGAGTTATGACGTCACAAAGGGAACAGCCTCCAGCCGGATTTTCACAAACTGAGTGCCAACGCCCGAGGTTTCCTGCCGGTGGTACGGACATCGGTTGATGGATCGTGATGAAACTTCCCATGCATGTTGGGGCAAGTATTGGCTATCATATGGTATAAGAAACTTGACCGGGTCAGGTCAGGTCACGGAGCTATGACGTCACAAGAGGAACAGCGTCCGGTACTATTTTTGAAAAGCGCCCGAACCACTATTTTGCTAATTCTTGTCACCTCAATGAGAATATGCAGCAATATTAGCTTCTATAGGGAGCAAATAGACCTCCCAAATCCAAAAATACAATCAGATTTCAAAAATTTAATTTTTGATTTTTCGAATTTCTTCCGCCGACTGTGACCTTGCCGACTTCCGGCGCTCCCAACGCGCCATTTTTAGAGCTAGGGAAACGAAATACATACCAAACGATAGAGAATTGATCAAGGAACACGATAGTGAAGTTTTCAAGTCCATATCTCCCACCGTTTTTGCCGCAATCGCCGCGGAAAGTTGAAAAAAGTTTATTTTTCCGAAAATTTGACCTTTGACCGGTCAAAAGTAGGTCAAATGTTGACCTAGGACCAAAAAATATACCACCAATCGCGAGATCTCGGCGAGAGCAATCCGTTGGTCTTTTCCGCTAAGCTCTACGACGCTCCGTTTTCAACGCCAAGGGGGGGGGGGGTCGCACCAACCCCCCCCCTGCATGGGCGAAGGTGGCAGATCGCCGTTTACGGGCGAGGGTTAACCCGCGCATGACTGGGGTATTTTCCATAACGCGAGTGACTGGGGAGGGGGGGGGGCTCTCCAGAGCCCCCCTCCTATCTCCGAAACTACTGGGCCGATCGTCAAAATTCAAACGGCGTCTGATAGCCCTGGAAAAACTGTCGAGCGAAACCTATTTTCATTGACCTCGAGGTCACCGATGACGTCACAGGTCAGGTCAAAGTAAAAATTATCGACATTTTCGCTAGTTCACAATTTAGGCTCTGACCACCGGACGGCCATTCCGATCAGGCTCATTTTTGGTTTACGCACTCCTTGACGGATGCCTTAGATACCCTGAGGGTACCGAACTTTTACTTCGAATTTTTAAGGTCAAGGCCAGGTCATCCTAGGTCACGAAAATTGTATATCATGTATCGGTCACGTGACGCATGTTTTATGGTCCATTTTACTCGTAGATTTCGAAAATAGTGTCGTCTGTGTCATTTGAGGTCATTGTCAGCTGAATTTACCGAAGGTCAGGTCACTTTCAGGTCAGAAAAGGTCAAATTTTGAAAATGAAATTTTTTCAACAAAAAAGGTGCCTATCAGATGCAGTTTGAGCTCAGGAACACAATGGTGCCATTTATATTGCTGTACGACGTCAAAAACGTACTGAAAAATGGATTTGAAAAAACATAAAATTGTAAAATTTTGACAATAATGCGAATAACTTGGCTATTTTTGAAGATATTGGGCTAAAACTTGCAAACGTAGTTCATCAGTGTGTGTTCTATCACATATAATCCGGTTTTTGCGAAAAGTCAAAAACTTTTTGAAAAAAATCAAGAAATATATTTTTTAATTGTAAATGAATATTTTTCAAAATATTCAAAATTTCGAAAATTCGAGATAGCAGTTCGTTAGCTACGTCTATTTTTAGTCCACTCATGCAAAGAAAATGGATCTAGCTTTAAAACTCAGCTCTTGAGAGCGTTTGCCATAATTCAGTATTTTGCATGAAAATCGGCCGGCATGACGTCACTCTGACGTCATTTCCGGTCAAACTATAGTAGCTAGAAAGTTGAAATTTTAACACAAGGTGTCAAATTGATGCTTTTGAAGGTACTGCAAGTTTCGTGTTGATCCGTCAAACGGTTTGGAAGATATTGCTGAAAAACGGGAGGGGGGCTCTCTAGAGCCCCCCCCCCCAGTCATGCGCGGTTTAATAACCTACCTACGCCGGGCGGGGTGAGGGGGTTGTTTGAACACCACTTTAAGGTTTTCGCAGCTATCTAAAAAAAAAAAACACGGCGGCACGTAGGTAACACCGCCGTTTCTGGCACATTTGCTTATTCATCTTTTCCGCACGCTTTGTGAAAATTTCAGACCCCGGCCGCTCAAGGTCGGGTCACAGGTCTCGTCAAGTGACCTAACCTCAGGGAAGAGTTAGAATGCTCGTTATAGCTACCAAGCCAAACGCTGAAGCTGCCGAAACTGACGTGAGAGCCTCGATAATGAACTTGGAGCCAGCGTCCTTTTGAAAAAAAAAAAAAAACGAACTGTAGCGTCAGGTCAACCTCTCATTGGGGGAGAGTGAGGCAAGTCGCCCCCGCTAAGTGAAAAGTGCTCTCGGGGGCAAACTTGAGGAGGTTTGTCGCTAAATAAGCGTTTTTTTTTAACGTGCGCCACGTAGGGCTATCGGCGGACCCTACCACCCGTAGGAGCGGGGGGGGGGGAGGGCGTTTCGGCCCCCCCATAAGATCTCGGAAATTTACCGGCCGATTTTCAAAATTCAAATGGCGTTCGATAGCCCCACCGGGGAACTACTTTGTGAGTTGTGACCAAATTTCACTGACCTCGGTACAACTGATGACGTCACAGGTCAGTTCAAAGGTCGCATTTTCACCGTTCGCAGGCATTTCAAGAAATGTGTTGTGAGATCGAGTAAATTGGTAAGGTATTGAAAATCATCGATGGTAAATTGTTCGTCAAACACATATATTGCTACCTGAGGTCACTGATACCAGGTCAGGTCACAGAGGTC